TTATTTGTCGCTGCTACTGATCACCATTAGATACATGAGGAAAGTAAATTTATCCTAAACATTGGCTCAGAAACTATTTTGTAAGAATGAGTGTTAACATTTTTAATTGGTTGCGAAAAATGCCGGAAAACCGAAGTATAACTGATGAAAGTGAAGTAGAGCCAATTAGTTCTGACATTGAAGAGAGTATTTAAGTTTACATGAGGATCGTACCATACCAGAGGTTGTTGTGTAGCCGCAGCTCAGTATTTGGTGCCCTAGAAAGGCGAATGGTGTACCAAGAGTAGTGCTGCATTTCTTGAAATCAAGTTCCGACTGAGTATTTTTAATGTTTTCTTTTATGTGTTACAGTAGCACGTGTGATGTGATTACAAGTGGTCGTAACGGACTGCCAGGTCCAGCTGTAACATGGCCTGGTTTCGGCAGATGCGTATGCGCGTATACGCAGGCGCCATCCCGGAACGCGCGTATGCTGTACATGGCGATGCCTCGGAAATCGTGTACTCTGTATGCGTGGGAGTCACACTGTGTGCGCGGAAGTCGAATGCTGTGTGCACGGTAATGTTTTCTGAACATATATTAGGCTCTGTCCTGGCAGGCGCTATCCTGGGTCACGTTTTTAATGTGGTTCACGTAGTTAACGTGGATCTCGCAAGTTCAAGTAAGAGTATGTGTCAGATACTTCGTATGAAGTACCTATGTTTACTTGTGAAAGCGAAGTGCTTTATTATAGTCCACGGTATGAGAACGTATTTCTGTTTTAGGGCCTCATATGTGTGATAGATGAGAGAACAGGCAACTGTGTATATTGCCCTTATAGTTAACAATTTGTTTTTCACGCAGATCATGATAACTACAACCCCGACGATGCCTGTGAACCCTCAGGTGCTTCTGCTGCTCTCGTTTTGTTGTAATTTGATAGTTCACGCGAAACATGATTATCATTTATTTTGAAGTTCAAAAGTTTTAAGGGTTGTACTACAATAAAGGATTAACTTTAATACGCTATGAATTGAAAATAATAAGTGACATTTTTGTGTTCTAATGTGTTGATCAGTGTTGCAGTTTGCTCCGAATATTGTGTCGTTGACAAGATTGGGGTTGGATTTCGAGGGATTCGTAGAAGTCTCTACAACAATGATCAATGAGGAAGACGTTGTGATGGCTAATCGAACATGGTCAGGTACGGCCAAGCGCTGGTTAGATTGAGCCTACACCGCTACAGTCGGTTACTTATCGGCTGATCTTACGGCAGGGCAATTCAAGCGGCCGCCGAACAAATGGTGCTTTGGCGCTGTAAATGGACGGCTTTCGTAGATTTTGCGCAGTTTCCTCCTTCGCTTCGAAATATGTTGTGGTATCTGTCTCTACACATAGTTTCCATTTTATTGCAATGTTTTCAAATGTCGTGCAGTTGCCGTTTCTTAAGAGAATATGTGATGAATTTCGGAAGCTCGGAATTCCATGGTTTGCAATACATTTATCTCGATTTCTTTTAATTTTGCAAAGCAGTGCGACGATTCGCTAGCGCTAGTACGGCGCGACGGCTTGCTGCCGCAAATGTGGCACGATCGCAGCAGAACGAAAAGCTGTAGTGCGTTTGCCTGGAGGTAGCCATATCCGCGCGTTCCAGACTTAAATGAAGTCTGGGTTGGTCGACCGTTATAATATTTAACAAGAGTTAATATCTGTTAGCAAGTGGTGATAACTGATAGACCGTATGCTGTTCACTGTCAACCGCACGAGGACGTGCGACAGCCAGAGGTAGCCGTGTCTGTGCATCTAGAAAATACTAGAGACGTTGCAACACTCTAGCGAAGTAATTATTCCAGTGCGGGAAAGGAACATGAAGTTGCAGGGAGGCTGGTCTGTGCTGCACTGGGATATGTGTCGAGTTGCTGTTGGTTTACATACTTAGGTGTTATCGTGTGTCACTACGTCCCTCACGATACACTTTTGTGGGATTGTGACGGGGACATGTTTGCGGTATGGTTGGTCTGTAACTGTTCTATACTGAATTGAAAAAAAAAAGAGAGTAAGAAAAAAAAATGTGGTTCTTACTATCATTGCAGGGCTTTGTGCCGGTCCAATGATATGGCTATAGGGAATACTTATTCCGGACTAGCGAAAACAGTACTTGATAAAAAAAGAGAAAATAGAAAAAGCTACAGACTAATCATTCCGATATAACATAAAGATGATTAAAGTTTTGTAGGGCTTACTGCCGGTACAAAACTGACTGTCACCCAAGTCTGAAGGGTCAATATAGACCGGACCAGACGCTGTAATGTCAGGATAGTCGAACGATGTTTTTTTGTCTACAGATAACTAAAATTGTGATGGAGCGCGTGCGAGGACGCACGCATGTCAGTATGGCCGTGACGGCACCTGCACCGTTGTAGGTACGGTGACGTCGGTCTAGCTAAACAGAATTCTTGTAAACGACACGTGTACCGCACACCTGCGGCATTGCACCTGCGTTGCCGCCCGTCCTGCTTGTATAAAACGGACGGAGCGGCCACCGTTAAGGCAGTCTTGGCTCTGACGTGGAACGGTGCGCTTGTCGTATTCCGTTACTAGTTTATCCTCGACTCGTTGGATAATTAATTCGTGTAAACGAATTAATTATTATTCCTAACTACAAAATCAGTCTCTGTACTATACCCATTATACTTCCTACATATATATTATAAGGAACAAGGAAAAGGAAAAGGTTCTTGAGTGGCAGCCTCGTATAGGTAGGTGAACCCCCTACTGGATGGAATGACGTCCTGGTGAGACATGCTGGAAGTTGATGGATGCAGGTTACTCAGGACCGTGCTTTGCGGCATTCTTTAGGGGTGGCCTATGGTCAGTAGTGGACTTGTGAAGGGCTGTAATGATGATGATGACGATGACTGATTATTGGAAAAAATTAACAGCCTAAACAGGAACCTTAGATTATTTATTTAGATTTTATTAGGTTATATTATTTCGAGTAAGTAATCTAAGATAGGACCCAATACTGGAAACAGATCTCTTATTTAGGAAGTATCGTATATCTGTTAATCTGTTGGGGAGGTCTATGTTCAGCAGTAGATTTGTGGGGGGTTTTAATGATTTCTAAAAGTATTTAGTTCAAAAAATGGCCAAACAAATGGTTTTGAAGTTAGAAATATCTGAGAGCTTTTTGATATATTACAATTACAAAGTACCTGAGCGGTCGCGCTTTACCTCGGCGTAAGAATAGAAATATAATTTTCTCAGGGATGATACTTATCTACATAAATTCGGAAAGTAAAGTATTATCTTAATACAAAATTTCGCCCAAATCATTAAAAGTCGTTTCCGAGCAATCACATATATACACATATATACACATACATATACATTTTCAATTTATTAAAAAATTTTAAAGAGGTTTGATTCTATATCGATAAAATAATAGTTTTCTGTTATCAAACATCTTTATAACCATTGACTTCACGGTTTAAACCACGAATAGCATAAAAATATTCGTAACTTCGCAAACAAAACATATTTTTTAATGAAAAAAAAAATGTTTGCAACATATAAAAGTCCACTGCTGAACATAGTCTGTCCCTATAGATTGTCTCATGGGAGGAATTTTGCCATAAACCAGCGTAAAATAGCAGCTTAACGCTGCTGTATTTCGTATGGTGAGTGTAGAGAACCGGAGACCCTTTTTACTGGCAAAGAGATATTCCATCTTAGTCCTCACGGGTGACAACGCATCTGCATCTTGAGTCTTTATTGAGGATAGATGTAGATGTCTATGGGTCACAGTAACCACTTACCATCAGGTGGACTGTGTGCTCGTTTGTCACCCGATCCTATAAAAAAAAATAGTTGCTACGCTTGGCATGCGGGTTGGCAACTGCAGTTTTTTTATAATTTTCAGTTATTATCAAGTAGAGGCTGCTGCCCATTTCCTCTTTCTGTTTCCCTCTTTCTCCTCTCACGTCACACAAGAGACGAAAAAGGGTAGTGGATATTCTTACACCGCCACAACACGGTTAAACTTAATCAAATTATTAAAAAAATCTACATGATACCAGAAACATGCTCGGTATTGAAGGAAAACATCGTGAGGAAAATAAAATAAATTAATATTTGAAACCTCTTCGAGGATACAAAATCCGCGTAGTTTACATTTCGTAAATAATTACGAAAATCTTCCTTCTCATGACGTAACTCTTTAATTAAACTGATATGCGTTAAACGTTTTCTTTTGGTTCGCCATTATTTTATCCATATTCTCCAATTACGTTTTCATTTGTTGTTCTTCTTACTTATATAACACAAGATCTCATTAGTGTTCGACATCGCGGAAGAGTAGTATGTAAGTCTACTCGGCTCGACGTCGGTGCCATACATAAGTACGTGTACTTTAAAATCGCGATTTTAAAGCTCGCACGTCTATCACGCGCTTTACAGACACACACTTAAAGTTTATTTGTATGTGTATTATAATGTTAATGTTAAAATGTATATACAAATTGAAAGCATATTATACGTGGTAGAGCCATGCTGCAGCTATATTAATTGTATAGTTGTAGCACGAATGGGTCGGCTCGGCCGGGAAAGAACCACGCCCTCACAGAATACCAGCGTAAAATAGCAGCTTAATGCTGCTGTGTTTCGTATGGTGAGTGTAGAGAACCGGAGACCCTTTTTATTGAAAAGAGGCATTCTATCTTAGTCCTCACGGCTGACAACGCATCTGAATTTTAATTCGCAGACGAAGATAGATGTAGATGTCTATGGGCCACAGCAACCACTTACCATCAGGTGGACTGTGTGCTCGTTTGTCACCCTTATTGTATATATAAAACAAAAAAAAAGCATATACATTTTTGTACACTTCCTTTATTTACGCTTTCATTATATGTATTTTAATGTAAGTACATAACGTTAAAAATCTGATTGAAACCAACATTTTAAACTATACCATCTAAATGTGATATTAAACAAAGATTTAGAGAATATATAAATTGAAACTACTCATGTGGATCTACAATATTAAGTATAGTGAGGCATCCATCTTGGGAAGCTAAAGCCACCGCTTTGCCGCCGTGCGCGCTCGCTACCCCGGTCACTTCAGCTGGGGCTCTGTACTCGGCGACAGCTCGTCCGTCTACAGTCCTGAAATCGATATGTTATTAGTTCAATAAGAGTGACGAGCACAGTCCACCTGATGAGAGTGGATGGTGTGGCCCATAGACATTTATATCTATCATTGATTAAGTATCAAAATTCAGTTGCGTTATCACCCCTGATAACTTAGATAAAATGTGTCTTCACCAGTAAATATGGTCTCCAGTTCTCTACACTCACCATACAAAAGTCAACTTTTTCTTTTTATAACAAGTTAATTTTATTAACTGGTATGCCAATTTCTGTTACTGATCCGAATGATTTAAGTCCAGTGCCTCAACTGCAATTCAGCAGAATGCATAATATTGGAATGAATACTAGACAATTATAGGACAAAATTGGTGTGGTCACTTTGAGAATTATCAAAATCTAGAGAGAAACAAACTGATAGCTAAGTTTTTGTTTCAGTAAAAATTTTGGCGAAAGGCGAGATAATATACCATCAATGGTTTATTTAATGTAGGATTAGTTGGATGACACTTTATAGGGTCATATTGTGTGCATCAATTTTCAAACAATTTCAAAAACTAATGTTTAACGCGGGTAAAAACTATTTTGAAACGACTTCATAAAGGAGGAGGTCCTTAATTCATCGGAAGCTTTTTTTATTTTATGTTCACCAGTTACTCAGACGCCTGAATTTTTTTTTGTTTCAAAGAGTATAACTTTCCAGGTGGTCCCATTTAAATTTTATCGAAATCGATTGTGGCGTTTTTAAAATATCAACAATAAATTATATTCATATTGAAGTCGTTTGTACAAAATTTTAATCGTTTTGTACGAAGTTAAGTGAGTGATAGCCATAACTTACGCATATAAATGCAAACTTGATTTTAGAAAATCGTGTACTCCATAAGATAAATGTATAATATTAACTGAAATATATAGTATTTACCAAAAGTTTTTTTGCTTTTGTTGAATAAAAAAATATATTTTATATTCAACAAAAGCTTGACAAATATAGGAAGGAATTAGCCCGTATCACTCAGTTATATCTTTTTGAGGATCTAGGGTTGCATTCACATAATAATAATATATAAATTATTGTGATCCTTGCCATAAAGGTTTTCAGTTTCCGGATCTCCCTTGTTTAAATTCAAGGCACAAGTATCACAAATTAGATGATTATTTATAATATAGATTACTTGAACAAATTGAGCCCTTGAATATATATTTTATGACGATTCGTTGTTTATAATGATCTTAGGTTTTCGTTTGTTTACTTGGCAAGACGGTAATGATCTCAATTTTTACATTTTACTCTTCCTTAACTTCGAACCTACATAACATGCAACAACAGTAAGTATTTATAACAAGTTCAAATGTTAAAAGAACCCGACTGCGTAAAAAAGTTAATTGAAAAAAGAAAAGTTTTATATCTGTTAAATCTACAACTAAAGCGTCTTATTTACGGATTCTTGGCTGTAGATGTCTATCATCTACAACTAAGAATCAAAATGCAGATACATTTAAAATTTGGAATGTCCTATTCTATGAATACTTCAGGAGAACCATTAAAGATACTAAAGATAAAACGAGTACACAATCTAATGTTAAGGTTAGCGCTCGCTGTAAGCTTCGCAGTACTCGAGCTACCCGGGTTCGATCCCCGCCGGCACCAATGAAATTGTTAATTGCAATTTTAAGTGCTGATTTACCACGTGCTGGACGGTGAAGGAAAACATCATAAGGAAACCTGTATGTCTGAGAAATAAGAAAAAAATATTTCGAAGACATGTGAAGTTCGCCAACACACATTGGACCAGCGCGGCGGACATTTCCTTGCCCTAGAACCTTCTCAGAAATGAGAGGAGGCCTGTGCCCAGCAGTGGGACGTAAATAGGCTGCATTTTTAAGAATCAAAATGCTGAGAACTAAGATGGAATGCCTCGTTTCTAGTAAAAAGTCTCTCCAATTCTTTACACTCACCATATTATAGAATTGAGCCGCTATAATATGCTGATATTTTGTGAGTCCTTCACCAGTCGAGCCGACCCATTCGTGCTACAATAATCGTTAATAGCTGCAGCATGCCTCTACCGTTTATGTATGTTAATACCTGCGTGATACTTGATAAATTAAAAATGAGAATAAAACAGGTGGTAAAATTAATTTTTTTTTACAACTGACTTCAATATAAATAAAATAAGAACATCATAAATGTAGTCGAAGTCGATTAAATACGCATTACTAAGGATAATTCAAAAACTACTGATCAGATCTTGATTAAATTTATATGGGATATTCACATGAGAAGCACCAACTTTCAAATAAAAAAGAATCATCAAAATCGGTTCACATGGAAAAGGGGTGTGTGTCAGCTCCGACGCAATACTGGTGTTTACTCCTTATGAACGATTATATATGAAATTTAATATCAAAACTCCGCAAACAAAGGAAATCGCATACGGTGAAAGAAACAAAAAATAATTTTTGACTCACTCGCTCTTAACGTAACACAGATAAGTGTGTTTCTCTCACGCATTTCCTGTCATTTTAGTGACGCCTCTATAGTTCATTCTCTCTCTACGGTTGCGCACGACATTACGTAGTCATGGAAACATGAATACATAACGTAACGCATGACGTAACGTTTGATTATACTCCCCATGAATTTTCATATACCGGGCTTACATATGAAAATTGATTCTTAAGGAGTAAACTCCAAAAGTTCTGAGGTAACACACATAAAAAAAATATATAGTCGAATTGAGAACTTCATTCTTTTTTAAGGTCATTTAAAAAATACTAGTTTTAGCTACGCTGCATAGTAGCCAAGTCTTTTTGCCACCATCTTTCAAACTAATAACATACCTGAATACTCTCAGTGTTTTTCTACCGCTGTGGTAATAGAAGACATACTGGTCAGTAGAACTGAACATGGTTATTATAGAAAACACTCCCTCTGCCGCTCTGAAGATCAGTTGCTGTATTGATGTGCCCCTCTTTAGTTCTATCAGGTCAAGGCCTCCACGTGATGGCGCACAAAGGCCTATTTTACCGTCTCTAGTGCAAGCACCGTTCCAGCGTGGCACGAATCTGTGAATATTTAAGTAATGCTATAAGGCACTAGACTTAACATACTCGTAATAGCAAATGATTTCTTATATTCACGCGAATACCGCACAAGTAATAAAACTAACTTTACGAATTTTATCGCGTTAATAATGAATAGTTAACGTTAATAATTAATAGTTAAAGGTAAGTTGAAGATAGCCTTCGTTAACTATGACATCAGGACGTCATACACCTCCGTAATTCGTAAAATTAGTTTTTAAAAGTCTTCAAGTTATTCGGATAAAATATAGCCTAGATTAGCCCGGACAGACAGACAGACAGACATAAATTTAAAAAGTGGTTATCCATGACTTAGTGGCATACAAATGACCCCCTCAGTTGAATATTTCGATATTACAGACTAGGGTTTGGGTCCCGGGACGTCTCGTGTCTCGAAGTCCCGGGACTTTTCGTAATTTTAGTTGTCTCGAGCCCCGGGACTTTAGGGTCGAGACTCCAGACGTCATATAGCGCCATGTGTTAGTTTAATGAAATTACTTGGTCTACTATGTAACTACTGAGTACGCAGCACAATAAATTAAACAAATATGTGATTATGAGAATTAACAATGATTAGATACTAGAATTACTAGATAATAGTAAAGTTATTAAGAATTACTGTGATTTTTAACTAAGTTCGTTTCATAACTAAAAGATTTAACTGTTTAGAAGTGCATCTATGTGTGACTAAAAGAAATAAACAAAGCATTATTAAGACTGAAATTAACGTTAAAGTTATTAATTTTCTGTTCAATTGTTTAATAAATGTTGATTTTTACAAAAAGTTGCCTCTTTCTAATACGTTTCACCAGAAATTAACTGAATTAAAATTCTTCAAAACAAGCTTACCCATCTCAAAGAAAAAAACAAAAATTTTTTTCTTAAAAGTCTCGAAGTCCCGGGATTTCCCGGGACTTTAAATATAGGCTGTCCCGTGTCCTGGGACTTTAAAATTGTCGGGAATTCCCAAACCATATTACAGACAGACGCTTCAATTGTATATGGATAGATGTTTTAACAATCAACGTAATTAATTGATTGGTTATTACTTATTAAGGTTCTCCTTTTAATTAAACCATTTAGAGATTTAATTTCGGATCGCATTACATGTTTTAATCAACTTGTAACTGTAAGACAACAAACAAAGTTAAACCCATAATAAGGTAATAAAAGATCTAAAGAGAAAAGCCGACGAGACGAGATAAATAATGTAAACACGCAGACTCAGTTACGGTACGACTGCGTGGAGCAAAGACTTTTTTTTGGATCTAACGCGAAATGACATTTTTTTCAGAATTAAAGTTACAAATGAATACACAGTCCACTTAATGGTAAGCGATTACTGCAGTCCATGGACACCTGCAGCCAATTTAATATAAAGAAAGCTACAGTTAGTAAGTTGTCACCTTTAAAGACTAAGATGGAATGCCTCACAGCTTTAAGTATATTGTCTCTGCTATTTGGCGGTAGAAGTACAGTACTCTCTCGCTAATCCGCCATCATAAAATCCTAAACATCGGCGGATTATGATGTACAGGAACAATAAATTGAAAAAAAAAAACAAAAATATATGATTTATTTATATATTGTACATATTTAAGAAATCAACAAACATGAATCTAGAAGTAATTACTAATATTTCGAAAAAAAAAATGGGTCTAATTTTGCTTGTTTTTTTTTTTACCAAAATATATCTTTTTGATAACTTCATCGCACATTTTACCTAAATTTGCAACCATATCGCATGACTTTCCATTTTCGGATTGGCGGACTAAAGAGTGATTGCTTAGCACCGTGCGGCGGAGTATAGAATTCTGTTCGTCTTACGCATGAAAAAGAGGCAAGACAGTGGATTGTCGAGTCGAAGACTTTCAGTGTCGGTGGATTACAGAGTTTAATCAAGATCAATCTCCAGTCCAAAAAGACGGTGGGTTATAATACTTGTCGGATAATCGAGTGGCGGATTAGCGAGAGAGTATTGTACTTAAGATGTTGGTAGACCTACCCATACGGACTTTTAGGCAGAGAAGAAGTTCTAACACCTAAAGTCACAAATGTGCCTAAGCCAGCACTGCTGCTATGTTATTCTTATGCCTCGGCCACATACATCGCGATAGAATTATCGCGACAAAACTTCGCCTTCGGCCTAGCACGAAGCTTAGCCACACTGCGTGTTGTAAATTTTATCGCGCTAAACGCACGCTAAAAATAAAATGGACGGCACGGTCGCTCTGTATTATATGGCAGCGAATAATTATTTTTTATTTTTGTGCCAATTTTTAAAAAATAAGAAAAATATATAAATAATATATAAATATATCGCTACGCAAGATGTCTGTGGGCAGACTGAAGTGTAGCCGCACACGCGAAGTCTATCGCGGTAAAACCCTTTGAAGTGTGAGAATTAACCGACAGCGAAGCGATGTGCTTGAAACTTCGCACGAAGTGACGAAGTATTCACGAAGGGCAAAACATTGCTATAACGCGAATATTCGTGCTAGTACGATGTGTGTGGCCGCGGCATTATAACTAGAAAAAGTTCGGTCCAGGTGCAATATATCTCGTACAGCTGTAGTTTTATATTTGTATGCCTTTTGGTTTTGAATATAATAATAGTAAAACCCCTAATGTGTCTAAGCGCATCTAACAATATTTCAATTAACAAATATAAAGATATCTTTAAACAAAAAAAAAAACGTGTCAGTCGTAGGATTGCACGTCAGAAGTGAAAACTTCTTAGCTTCATAATGTATAATGTGTGTGTGTGTGTTTGTGTGTGTGTGTGTGTGTGTGTGTGTGTGTGTGTGTGTGTGTGTGTGTGTGTGTGTGTGTGTGTGTGTGTGTGTGTGTGTGTGTGTGTGTGAATGTTTATTAAAAAAACTGTCAGTCGTAGGACTGCACGTCAGAAGTGAAAACTTCTTAGCTTCACAAACTTGTAAACATTAGTTTTGGGTTGTTATGTAATGTGTTTTTAGGAGAATATTTTTTATTGGAAATTATTTTTATATTTTATTTTTATTTTTTATTTTATATTTTATTTGTATTTTACAGATAATAATTATTATCTGTAAAATACAAACAAATTTATATACCTGATATAAATTTGTTTGTACCATATAAATTTTATGTACCTGAACGTGACGGGCACTCCAGTTCAGTGCTTTTTCCCCATCCCAAATATTGCCCAACGTGCCTAAAGAAGTTTTTACTTCAAAAACTGTTACAAAAGAGTTATTTTACTGTTTCTTGTTGGTCAAGTGGTCATAAATCCGACTGGTGATCATGAGGCGCCGGGTTAGAATCCCGAGTCGGGCAAAAAATCAGTTATTGATTTTTTCAGTCAAGAAATCTTCAGGAATAGCCAGGACTCGGGAATTGGCGGTGGACCCGTGCCTCGGAAAGCATTTAAAGCCGTTGATCCTGTACCTAAACTTTTTTAGGTTATGTTGAATTACCGTCTCATTGGACTATGTGAGTGCACGTGCACTCGGGCACTATACTCCTGTCCTGCGCTAATGTCCGATGAGACTGGCCGGCGTGATAGAAATTTGGCCTATAGTACATTACTGTACAATATTATATTGTAAAAAACTATTCCACTTCTGATGTTAGAAATTATTTTCAAAAGTATTTAAATAAAAGAACACTACTCGGTAATGAACACTGCTAAAACAAGTGGGAAATCACCATTCTACCGTTGTTCATGGGCGACGGTAGAAATATTTATTAATCTACATTACGTATAAAAATATTCTATTCTAGTCTATTCTAATGGTTTGTTTACATTCCTTTCTCGTCTCGGTGGCGTTGATATATGTATGCTATGGAATTTACAAACCTGACATGTCGTTTAGTTTTAATATCGAGAATGCCGGCTTTGTCATTACCAACTACGGCTACCCAGTGTGGTTTGTGAGGAAGAGCTACAATTGACTGCATGTCCTTGATCCCACTGTTCTTTACTGGAATTCTGGAAGTATTTAATTTTATATAACAATATTGAAAAACTGTTTAATTAGGAAAAGATAAGGGAATCATTAGAAATCTGCAGCGAGGAAAAATGTTGCGCTTACGGAGAAAGAGTTAAAGAATTTTTAAATTTAAGGTTTAAAGTAGCCAGTCTTTCGGTTTTCTACAAGATACGTTTCGGAGAGTGTGCACAAGAATTGCATAATTTAATTCTTCCCTCTCCCTTCCACCATCGGACAACCACACGTTCCACCCCTTCGTTGTTGACTTACCACGCATTCGAACCAAACGGTTTGCTACATCGTTTATCATCCGTACAGTAGAGGAGTGCAATAAGTTGCCAGCATCTGTGTTTCCATCCGGTTATAATGTGGATGTCTTCAAGGCAAGAGTGAATGGGCTTTTGTTAAGTCAGTGCGCTTCACTCAAATTGCAATGCAACCGCTATTTAAACGTATTGCTTACATATTTGTTAAATCTATATGTAAATAAAATCATTTATTATTATTATTATACAAACATAACATCAAATAGTGGCTTATTACTTTTTAGGACACCTTCAGCTTCATACTACATTTGATAAATTTGTTTCTAATTTATTTAATGAAAAAAAAAACAGAGTCAAAAAGTTAAAACACACGAGGTCACCATCGCCAATTCGCGTCGTGACATCTACGAGGATGGACATAGGTTGTTTTTTTCTAAAATTTCCCCTGCAATTGTAATAATTCTCTCGACAATTGCGGAGAGTGAGGTGACGTTTTCTTATTTATACAGTGTACAAGAATTAAATAATATATATTATAAATATAAAAGCCAGGAACTCGTGGACTACTACAGTATCGGAGCGTTTAGGTTGACACGCCATTTCGAATTATTTTCGCGCAGTATGCATACGCTACGGAAATATTGTAGGTTCGGCACTAAACCCGTCACATCATTATGAAGCGACTGCACTGACCGGTAGTAGAATCGCGTTTTAAGAAACAAATAAATATATTTTTAAATAACCACTAAAGCGTATTATAATACAGACGATTATTTGTTTGACAATTTTTAAATTTTAACTATCAAATTTATTGAATGAATCACAAAACTTAATCTATGTTATTAATTTTGAGACATAATAATTTACACTCGTTTTGACATTATTATTTTGACATTATAATTTTAATTATTACATTTATTATATTATTATTCAGTAAATTAGTAGTACAAATAACAATAGGATTGTATTATGTTAATGTAATTATTAGAATTTTCCATTTTAATTACAAAAAAAATCTTGTATTTAAGCATACCGGAAGGTAGAATAACTGTACTTTTGTTAAATTATTAAGACCTATTGTAACCCGGATATCGCAAACGAATAAAATTAACTTGAATTTGAATTTGAAAAAAAAAAGCTAGTACACAGTCCTCCACCTGATGGTAAGTGGTTGCTGTGGCCCATAGACAACTACATTTATCCTCGTTTGCGAATCAAAATGCAAATGCGCTCTTTTCCAGTAAAAAGGGTCTCCGGTTCTCTACACTCACCGTACGAAGCATTGCGCTGCTATTTTACGCCGGTATTCTGTGAGTGCGTGGTCCTTCCCCGGTCAGGCCGACCCATTCGTGCTACAACTATACAATTAAGAAATTTGACTGCCTCGTTGGTCTGGTGGTTGTAGTAGTGCAACTGCTGATCATGAGGTCCCGGGTTCGAATCCCGGGTCGGGCCAAAAAATCAGTTATTGAGTTTTTCTATCAAGAAATTCTCAGTAGCTGACCGGAGTCAGGAAGTTGGCGGTGTCTCACCCCCGTGCCTCGGAAAGCACGTTAAGCCGTTGCTCCTGCGCCTGATCTCTCTCCGGTCGTGTTGGTTTACCGTCCCATCGGACTGAGAGTGAGGGAATAGAGAGTGTACCTGTACTTGCGCATACACTTGGGCACTATAATCCTGTCCTGCGCAGATGGCTGGTCTCCGTTGAGACTGGCCGCCGTGACCGAAATTCGGTCTGGAGGACATTAATATTATACAATTAATATAGCTGCTGCATGGTTCTACCAGGTATAAACATATATGTACAATATGTTGTGTTGTTACAAAACGACTGGTAGCAACTGAATGCTTTAAGCCGAAAGTCGGGGTAAGACGCTTCATGAGAGAGGCAGTTCAACAGTGGATCAGGCTGATCATAATAATGATAGATAGATATCTAAAGTCTTACCTATGGAGTCTGGCACCAGTTCTAGCATGGAACACGTGGAGACAATCTCTAGAAGATTTGTCCACACCAGGGGCTACCACGTGGTGTTCATCTGCTGATACCACTGCAGCTCTGTAACCTGTTCCTCTTAACTCGTATTCCGCAGTGTAGATTTTTTCACCGTCTAGAAGGAAAATTCAATAAGCAACTAGTTTTCCTCATCATCATTATCTTTATTAGCTCGTAAAAACTTACTGCCAACTAAACTAATGTAATGACAAATACATTCTCCGAATGCTATATTAAGATAAAAAATGCTGCTAAGTTTTTTTTTATAGGATCGGGTGACAAACGAGCACACAGTCCACCTGATGGTAAGTGGTTGCTGTGGCCCATAGACATCCACATTTATCCTCGTTTGCGAATCAAAATGCAGATGCGTTGTCACCAGTGAGGACTAAGATGGAATGCTACACTCACCATACGAAACACAGCAGTGTTAAGCTGCTATTTTACGCTGATATTCTGTGAGAGCGTGGCCCTTCCCCGATCAAGCCGGCCCATTCGTACTACAACGATACTGCTAATATAGCTGCAGCAAGGCTCTACTACGTAAAAAAAAGTGACAAGGCCACGCTTTCGCTGCTTTATGGAAAAGAGGTCAACCATTTCTTTTCTGCTTAGAACTCCATTAGAACTTCAACTTAACCAGGTTACCACCATCGTATCTATTTATGTCGTAAAACAGCCGAGTAAACTGTTCTGTTTTGGTCTAAAGTTTATAAAAATTCAGCATTATTACAGGCTGTTTGTTTCTTTACAAAAACACACTAAATACTAATAAAAAATGCAAATCAACAGCCTGTATTATGTCCCGCAACTCGTCACAGACCCATTCCTTAGATGCTGGTTTGACAGTTTTTAACTTATTAGACATGCAGGTAATCACTGTTTTTTTTTCACTCCATCACTGTTTTTTCCTTCTGCGTCGAGTACGTTATCATCATTCATCATCATCATTACAGCCCTTCACAAGTCCACTGCTAAACATAGGCCTCCCCCAAAGAATGCCACAAAGCACGGTCCTGAGCCAAATGCATCCATCGACTTCCTGCATGTCTTACCAGGTCGTCACTCCATCTCGTGGGGGAACGCCCTACACTTCGCCTGCCGGTACGAGGCCGCCACTCGAGAACCTTTCTTCCCCATCGGTTGTCGGTTCTTCGATCTATATGGCCGGCCCACTGCCACTTCAGCTTACTAATCCGTTGGGCTATGTCGGTTACTCCGGTTCTACTGCGGATATCCTCATTCCTAAGTTTATCACGCAGAGAAACTCCGAGCATAGCCCTCTCCATAGCTCGCTGAGCGACCTTGAACTTTCTCATACGGCCAGCAGTGAAGGACCACGTCTCAGTTCCGTAAGTCATCACTGGCAACACGCACTGGTTGTACAATTTCGTTTTAAGGTTTTGAGGTATGTCTGACGAGAAGATGTGTCGTAGCTTCCCGAACGCTGCCCAGCCGAGTTGAATCCGTCGATTGACCTCTCGGTCAAAGTTGGACTTACCTAGTCGGACTATTTGTCCCAGGTAAACATACTCGTCAACAACTTCGAGCTTAGTGTTCCCAACAACTACCGGCATAGGTATGACATGGACATTAAACATGATCTTTGTTTTGTCCATGTTCATCTTAAGACCTATCCGTTGGGAAACACTATTGAGGTCATTGAGCATAGTGCTTAGGTCCTCCAGCGATTCTGCCATAAGGACTATATCGTCGGCAAATCGAAGGTGAGTGATGTACTCGCCATTGATGTTGATACCGTATCCTTTCCAGTCCAGAAGCTTGAAAACGTCTTCCAATGCAGCGGTGAAGAGTTTCGGGGATATGACGTCACCCTGTCTTACACCTCTCTGCAATTGGATAGGTTTCGTACTCTGGTTCTGTACTCGGCTAGCCATCGTAGCCCTACAGAACAAGCACTTCAACACTTCGATATACCGACAGTCAACTTGGCACCGCTGAAGGGACTGCAGCACCGCCCAAATTTCGACGGAATCAAAGGCTTTCTCATAGTCCACATACGCCAGACATAAGGGCAAATTGTACTCTTCGGACTTCTGTACAATTTGCCGAAGGGTATGTATGTGGTCTATGCTGCTAAATCCCTTTCGGAAACCAGCTTGTTCGGGAGGCTGGAAGTCGTCAAGTCTGCGCGCGAGACGATTCGTAATGACTCTCGAAAACAGCACGTAGACGCGGCTCAGAAGGGAAATCGGTCTGTAGTTCTTCAAGAGAGCGTTGTCACCTTTCTTGAAGAACAAGACCACCGCACTTCTGCTCCACGCCTCCGGTGTAATGCCACCATGAAGGACGGAATTAAAGAGCTTCTGAAGGACTTCAAGTACCGGTTTTCCACCCGCTTTCAGAAGCTCCGCTGTAATTCCATCCTCGCCTGGGGCCTTACCATTATTAAGGTGCTGGAGAGCCATTCTAATCTCGCTCAGACTGACGTCCGGGATATCTTCGGAATAGTGTCGGATGAGACTCGCTCTTGGATCGTTACTCACACTTGCGTGTGGCTTCAACGATGACGTGTACAACTGCCCATAGAACCTCTCAATCTTACTCAAAATCTCAGGTGTCCCGGAAACGATGCTGCCACATTCTGTCTTCAGCTTTGACAGTTGGATCTTTCTGGCAGACAGATCTCTGGCAAAGACTTTGGAGCCTTGGTTCCGCTCGATCGCTTCTTTAATACGAGCTGTATTGAAGTTGCGTAAGTCGCGCTGCATGCATTTGGAAATCTGTCTGTTCAGATGCCTGTATGCTGTCAAGTCTGTTGAAGAATGTAGCTTCATCTCCCGTCTAACAGCCATGAGATTAAGAGTGTGATCGGAGAGTTTTTGTGTTCTTCTGCGGCGGGTCTTGCAGAACTTAGCTCCGACCGCATGGACAGTTTCCACGAGCTTGTCATTCATATCGTCCACTTCATTGCAGTCTTCTAGGCACTGAACAGTTGTCGTCTGGTCGTCATAATGAAGTCAATCTCATTTTTTGTCAAACCGTCGGGGCTCGACCAGGTCCACTTCCTGTGGGGCCGCTTCTGGAAGAAAGAGTTCATCATAAAGAGTCCCTCTTTCTCCATGAAGTCGGCCAGCTGCTGGCCCCTTGGGTTCCGTTGCCCTATTCCAAATTTCCCTACTTTCAGCTCACCGTTCTCTCTTGTGCCTAGTTTTGCGTTGAAGTCTCCCATTCACACCGTATATTGGGTTTTGGAGGAATGCATGGCTCTAGAGATATCCTCATACATTTCCTCCACCTCCTGATCGGGGTGTGCCGAGGTTGGTGCGTAAACCTGTATGACCTTCAGCGAATACCGTTTGGTGATTCTGAGTATAAGGTACGCAACCCTCGTCGACACACTCCCGATCTTTACAACGTTGTTAACGAGAGAGTACGTTATATTCACTTAAAGTTGCAATAAGCCGTTTTAAACGCCAGTGCGAAAGGATATCGAACATTGAGATCACGCACTATGAAATGAAAGCCATGTCAGTCCTGAGCTATTATGGCTCCTAGTACCAATACCATCGTAGAATTATGTAAATATATCTATTATATTTCTTATTATTATTATCTAATATATTATATCTGTAATTTGTATAAAAATCATTATGACAGCATACGAAAAGCCTAGCTGGAAATGGAATAATTTACCACCGGCGATTTTTCCGGACCGATACGACTTAGGGACCTTCAAGAAAAGAGCTTATTCCTTTTTAAAAGGCCGGCAACGCACCTGCAATTCCCTTGGTGTTGCAGCTGTTCATGAGCGGCGGTAGGCACTTACCGTCAGGTGAGCCGTATGCTCGTTTGTCCCCTCTCTTATAAAAATATTGGTATGGATTGCCTCAGAGAAAGGATATTTGCTATTCGTTTGCAGGCCGCTTCACAGGCGGGTTGGCAAATTTAGATTATTATTATTTTGAGTTGAAATTGCTGCTGCACATCTCCTGTTTTATTTCCCTATAGCACCTCTTACGGGACTCATGTAATGGATGCTATTAGTGTATTCTCTACTGTTAATACTACACCACTACTTACCCCAATATATTGAGATATAAACCAAAGGAAAATACATTAAAAAAATATTATAACTAAATAAAATTTTATCATTACACTGACCGGGAATTGTCCTGGCAATAATAACAGCCATAGCCAAGTTATCGTTGTTGTCTATTGGCACTTGCATTGATATAGTGATAAATTTGGCGCCATCTTCTAGAAGGAGCACTTGCTTCACACCTTTTTGTTCTTCTTTGAAAACAACCTAAAAATGATTTTTTAATTAAGTATTTCGAAGTAAAGTTATTATAATTGAATGTGGTAGAACTATGCAGCGGCTCGACCCTACATTCTCACAGAATATCAGGGCCAAAATAGCAATATAATAATAATAATAACAGTCTTTTGTCGGGCGTTAATAAGACACACGCTTATAACGGCTGGATAATGCCTGTTCTCATGTATACCTTTGGCATACTCAGGTGGACTCAGACCGAACTGAACGCTCTGGACAGAAAACTCCGGACTATAATGACGTCCCACAGAGTGCATCATCCGAGATCGTCGGTAATGAGGCTGTACTTGCCGCGGAAGCATGGCTCACGCACACACACGATCAATTCCTTCATTGATAAAGGATGTTATATGTATAATTTGTACATATATGTTTCTGTGTTTTTGTGTGTCTGTCTGTGGCATCATAGCTCCCAAACCGATGAACCGATTAAATTAAGTTTATTTTTGTTTGATAGGTGACTTGATTGCGAATCTTCTTAGCTATGATTCAAGAAAATCTTTTCAGACATTAGAAAATCATCAACAGTTTTTATTTCGAGAGTTTTTAAAAGTTTCTATTTATTATTACTATATGTTACGTAGGCAACTTAGGGAGTCAATAAAAAGGATATTTCTAAACGTAAGAATTTAGGAATATGCATATAATGAAGAACAGACAAGAGTAATGTGAATTTATCTGTACTTCAGTGAGATGAAGCAACCTGAACACAAGATACAGCATATCAAAGATTCGGTAAAGTAGAGCAGCTTGTATTTCACAAGTCAACTAAGCCTGCTTTGGACTGATGACGGTGATGAAGGTGATGAATAGGTCATTTATTCATGACAGTTGATCCTAGTCCATTGCTGAATATCGGACTCCCCATAAAATGTCGCATAAGGGTGAAAAACTCGAATACTTGCTATAGTTACCCCTACTTGGTGGGTGGGAAGGCAACCGTTTCAATTTTCTATTTCTTATTAGGAAGACGCTGTTGCCCATCTCCTGGTTTGGTCACCCGCGGGACGACGGGTAGTGGATATTCTAACACCGCCACTAAGTAAGGAGGTATTGAAGCGGTATTGATATGGAATAAGAATTCTCTTAGGTTACGAAATTAACAAACCTGTTTCTCTGCGATATCCCAAATCACAACATTACCCGACTCGGCAGTTATCACACTATCACCAGCGGGTGTTATCACAGCGTGGGTAACAATCGCTCCTAGTGGAGCGTCAGCCAGCTGTGCCAGGAGTCTGCCTGTACTGGTGTCCCAGAGGCCCCAGCAACTACGGGTCACTGTCACTGCAAGCTGTTTGTCTTTTGCCAGACTAGAAAATAATTAGCAGTGCATACAATTATTATTGTGGCGTAAACATTTTTTTTTTCTTTTAATAGAATAAGAGTGACAAGCGAGTACGCAGTCCACCTAATTCTCTAAGTACTAATATGGAATGCCTCGTATCCAGTAAAAAGGGTCCCCGATTATCTAGATCCATACGTAACACAGCAGCAATGTCGACCGGGGAAGGACCACGCTCTCACAGAATACCAGCGTAAAATAGCAGCTAAATGCTGCTGTGTTTCGTATGGTGAGTGTAGAGAACCGGAGACCCATTTTACTGGAAATAAGGCATTCCATCTTAGTCCTCATGGGTGACAACTGATTGATTCTGCATTTTGATTCGAAAACGAAGATAGATGTAGATGTCTATGGGCCACAGCAACCACTTACCATCAGGTGGACTGCGTGCTCGTTTGTCACCCTTATTCTATAAAAAAATGCGTTGCTATTTTACGCTGGTATTCTGGGAGAGTGTGGTCCTTCCCAGTCGAGCCGAATTTCTTTGTTCTTCATTCTTGTTACAACCATAATATAGCTACAATATGACTCTACCGTGTAAAAACTTTAGAGAATTTGTCACCCAGTTTGGTGAGGACGGAAAGGCGACTAAGAGAAAACTTGAGGCAATTCATACCCATAAAAAAGCTTATGGCCATGGATCTATATCTATGGGCAAGTCAGTGACGAAATAACACGCGCAATACTTAAGAAAATAGTTAAATTTTAGAAATTGGAGTAAGTACATAAAAGTTAAGTTAAAGTTACACTGTAATTCCCACTGCTGGACACAGGCCTCCTCCCATTTCTGAGAGTGTTTTAGGGTAAGGAAATGTCCGCCGCGCTGCCCCAATGCGTTTTGGCGAACTTCACATATCTTCAAAAATATTTTTTTTTCTTATTTCTCAGACATGCAGGTTTCCTCACGATGTTTTCCTTTAACGTCGAACACGTGGTAAATCAGCACTAAAAATTGCAATTCACAAATTGGTGCCGGCAGAGATAGAACCCGGGTTGCTTGCGTACTGTGAGATTTACAGCGAGCGCTTAACCACTGAGCTACCACGGCTCTTAAAATACATACATAAGTAACTAATTATTAATTAAAGAAGGATCCCTCTGTAAGAGTACAAGTGCGCAATTACGAGAAATCCGACTTAAGATCACGTTCCCACGTGACAGGGACGTGACAGGGTTATATTTCCTTAGGTGCGTAAAAAATAATACTGGTTGGTACACGTCACATAAAATCATATACATTACTCGTACGATTTCTAAAGTCATCCATCAACCACACGACAATTTTGGCGCCTTACGTAAACGTGCACAATATGAACGTGACTCTATTTTATAAATATATCGTAAATATATGTTTATAGAATAAGGGTGACAAACGAGCACACAGTCCGGATAGTAAGTGCATGCTGGCTCTTCTCACAACTGAGGATATTTTTAGAACCAATCGTACAAATCTTTTTGCAAAGTAATTTTCGTAACTTTAAAAAAGTATTATTTGTAATCGATATTGAATAAAACTATTCTATTCTATTTTTTTTTCTCTTATAATATAAGGGTGACGAACGCACTGTCCACCTAAAGGAGCTGTTGCCCTTCTAAATTTATCCTCGATTAACAATCAAAATGCAGATGCGTTGTCGCCCCTAAGGACTGAGATGGAATTCCTCATTTTCAGTAACAACGGTCTCCGGTTCTCTACACACACCCCAGTCAACATTGATATGTTATTTTACGCTGGTATTCTGTGAGAGCGTGGTTCAGGAGGTTTAGCAGAAAACTCCCGTCTGGTGAGAACTTCTTTTTCTTTTATAGAATGAGGGTGACAAGCGAGCACACAGCCCACCTGATGGTAAGTGGATGCTGTGGCCCATAAACATCTACATCTATCCTCGATTAAGAAGCAAAACGCAGGTGCTTTGTCTGCCTTGAGTACTAAGATGGAATGCCTCATATCCATTAAAAAGTGTCTCCGGTTCTCTACAATCGCCATACGAAACAGCACACGATATTTTCCTTTACCGCCGAGCACGTAGTAAATCATCATTTAGAATTGCAATTAAAAATTTTGTCTTTGGAGATCATCCGTGTCTTTGGAGATCAATATTATTTTTAATATTATCATACTTACTAAATTACTTTTCTAGTTATTCTTAGTCTCACGCTTTTAAAATGCACGCAAAAGCTAACCTTATAGAATCAATGGGTAGTTCCTGTCGATCAATTTTGTGTACTTGCTCGAAAATGTTATCTATATTCCAAATCTTTACAGTACGGTCAATAGAAGAGGTAATCACGTTGTTCCAAGCACCGACCGTTAAGGGTTCTAGTTGAACAATTCTTCCAAAATGCGCGTCCAAAACCTTAATCAGTTGTGTTGTTTCCAAGCTCCACACGTAGAGATTTTTCCTAAAAAATACATGATTATTAATTAGGTTTTCGGGTTTTAATTAATTCAAACTTCTGTTCTTTTATAATATAAATCCTTATTCTATAAAAAAAAGGTCCCGGGCAGATGGCTAGTCTCCGTTGAGATAGGCCGTCGTGACCGAAATTCGGTCTGGAGGACATTACTATGAGAAGGGATTAAGGGAAATGCCCGAAAAAATTTTTCAGCTTTCGCCAGATGGCAGTATAACAAAGTTGTTCACGTCAGATGTAAAATACCAAAACAGGCGACAGCCAGCAACAAAATTGCTCACGTCTGGTAATGTCTTTTTATTTTTATTTTATAGGATAGGGTGACAACGAGCACACAGTCCACCTGATGGTAAGTGTTTGCTGTGACCCATAGACATCTACATCTATATTCAATAAATAATCAAAATGCAGATGCGTTGTCACCCGTGAGGACAAAGATAGAATGCCTAAATGATTTGATTGAAATGATTAAAAAGCAAAAAAAAATATGTTGTAGTTTGTTGGTGCGAAAGTATTTGAATACTTCCAGCCAAAGACTTTCTGCGGAAACTTTTAAATTACCCAATTCGATTACTTTTTGGTCGGTCTCGCTCTCGGACCGTTCGTTTCACTTTGAAATCACACAAAGTTTAAAATTTTCGCGTGGTTTAGGAAAACGTTACATTAGCTTTAATGGTTGGGTGCGGAACGCAAACTCAAAGTTCGTGAATTCGAATGTGCTATTCGAGTACTGTCGTGAATCGTTCCTAACACAAGCATTATAAGCTTGACCACAGGGCTAGCATGGGCAGGAGACAATTTTATCCCCGGGGAAAGGAGAAAATGTTTATCCCCTCGCTTAGTTTTATCCACCATCCAGCATGGGCACCCCGTGGATATAATAACCACAGTACATAAAATGGGAGAAATGGGGGACTTAGACTTAGATAGATTTTTTGTATGAACATAAACCTAAACCCACGTCCAATGAACTAGGATAGAATTGTCCCTTTCAAATGTTAAAAAAGCATAATTTTTTATCTGTAATTTGGCTCCATGTTACGGACGGGGGGTATATGTCTACTCGTTGTGTCAAACGGGGATATACATCTCCCCGTTGCCGTGCTTTGGCATAGGGACAAGATAATTTTATCTCTTGTCAGTGGATATAATCAGGGGATAAAAATTTTGTCTCCAGCCCATTCTAGTCGTGCAGGAGTAGTTAAAGAGAACATTGAACTGAAGCAATAACAGCTTAATGGCTAAGGAAATAGATTACAAGCCTATACAAAGTCGTGGGTTCGAATCCGCCATTTTACTATAGTCGTGAACTATTACTAACACAACCATTTAAAGCTTAATTGGAGTGACGGAAATACCATTATAATTAATAGAATCAGGCGTTACTTTGCGGAAATCCATTATATAAAAGCTTTTAGAAAAATTTACTTCCCAAATATCCGCGTTATAAAATAAAATGATGTGTCTTACCTAGTATGAAGAGCACCTCCCGCCCTCCCTCAATTGCGTGCACTATCCCCGTCACCACTAAATCACTAATGTTGGGAGTAGCGGTGCTGGGATTAGTGGTGACGGGGATAGTGCACACAATTGAGGGAGGGCGGGAGGTGCTCTTCATACTAGGTAAGACACATCATTTTATTTTATAACGCGGATATTTGCGAAGTAAATTTTTCTAAAAGCTTTTATGGAAATACCAATAGCAATATAACGTTAGTAGTAGTCTAACAAAGAAAAAAGGTTTACTCACCTGACTCCAGCTACAGCGTAAGTGTTATTGTTGCTGATCATGAACGAGTTGGACAGCGTCAATTTAGTCGAAATATTACGGATTGTGTGAGGCAACTTTAATACTATCCCTTCCAATCGAAGATCTTTTTCTGAGACTGCGTCTATTATCTCTTCCTGGTAAATAATACGAAGTTTAATCTATATAAATAAATAAAATTGAAGTGTCTGTTTGTAATTTTAAAATCACAGATTTTTATTAAATGCATATGAAAGTATATACGATACTTATAACAAAAACAAATTTTTGTCTGTCTGTCTGTTGTTCCGGCTTATCTCCGAAATGGCTGGACCGATTTCGATGGGACTTTCACTGACAGATAGCTGATGTTATAAGGAGTAACTTAGGCTACTTATATTTGAGAAAAAGAATTAGGATTCCGCACAACATAATTAAAACTCTAAATTACACGCAGGTGAAGTCGCGGGGAACTTTTTCGATTCGAATAAAGACGGCTAAAGGTGCATTGTCACTACTGAGGACTAAGACGGAATGCCTCAGAGCCCGTATTTTTATCGGCTCTCTTAACATTTTAGAGCGAACACAGCAGGGCACGCATTGCTTCTGCCACCAAACAGCATGGTGGCAGAAGTCAGTGAAAAGGTAATACCTATTCAAAACAATACCCAAAGGAGAAACAAGAAGGAATTACATAACATTCTGAAATATTGAATAAAACTTTTTTTTTTTCAATATTGAATTAAAAATATTTACGTGATAGAGCCATGCTGCAGCTATATTAGTAGCATAGTTGTAGCATGAATGGGTCGGCTCGATAGGGGAAGGACCACGCTCTCACAGATAACCAGCGTAAAATGGCAACTTGACACTGCTGTGTTTCGTATGGTGAGTGTAGAGAACCGGAGACCCTTCTACTGGAAAAGAGGCATTCCATCTTAGTCCTCACGGGTGACGACGCATCTGCATTTTGATTCTTTATTGAGGATAAATGTAGCTGTCTATGGGTCAGGGCAACCACTCGGTGGTAGACTGTGTGCTCGTTTGTCACCCTATCCTGTTAAAAAAACATATTGAATAAAGCGTTTAACCGACTTTAAAAAGGAGGATGTTTGACTTGACTTCATCGGAATCTTTTTTTATGTGCGTATACCGATTACTCGAAGACGCCTAAACCGATTTGGAAAATTATTTTTTTGTTTCAAAGGGTATCACAGGTGATCCCATTTAAGTTTTATCGAAATCGCTTAAAAAAATCAACAATAAATTATGTTTACATTGAATTCGGTTCTACAAAATTTTTAATTTTACCACTTTTACTTTATTAATTCTCTTCGTTTCGGTAATTAATTAAAACAGTTAAAATTAAGCATGCATTTTAAGTTTTTAGGTAATAAGCCCCATGCTACGGACGGGCGATATATATCTACTCGTTCTGTCAAACGGGGATATACTCCCCGTTGCCGTGCATTGGCATAAGGACAAGATAATTTTATCTCTAGCCGTGCTGGAGTTAGGAAGTAGGCAGTGATTCACCCCTGTGCCTCGGAAAGCACGTAAATTCGTTGATACTGCGCCTGATCTCTCTCCGGTCGAGTCGATTTATCGTCCCTATGGACGATGAGAGTAAGGAAAAAGGAGTGCACCTGTGCTTACACACTTGGGCACTATAATCCTGTCCTGCACAGATGGCTAGTCTCCGTTGAGGCTGGCTGCCGTGACCGAAACTCGGTCTGCAGGACATTATCCTGTTTACAAGAAAAAAGTGACAATTTATTTTGTTTATACGTTCCATTCTTACTTCTTCCTTTTCCCTGTCTTCACCCTTCTTCTTATCCTTTATATGGTTGCCTCTTGGTATGATATTATAAAAGTCCCATACAACAAAACTGTATGTCGTCGTGGCTGAAATATAATTGATCAAATTAATGAATAAAAGGTGAACGAGATGGTGATATATAGCCATCTCGTTTACGCCATACGATATATTGTCAGTACAGCGACGCGACGGTAAGCACCGATCATTCCAAGTCAGTAATAGTGATATTAAAGAATACATGGTTGATAATACCCATTAATGAAGTAATTGCTATCTTTCTGTTTTGAAATGTTGTTTTTTTTATATTTAATTGTACTAATAAACTTTAAATGATATAATTCTTGTTACCGCTGTTAAAAACATGTGTAATAGCTGATTCGATTCAGAATGACGAATAGAAAAATGTCTCAACGATTTATTAGCACTTGAAAAATTGCAACTATTATTAACAAAATAAGATGAAAAAAGAAGATATTCAGTTTTTCTTTAACAACTCAAAAAATATTAATATTTAAAAACTTTTGAAAAAAGATCCTTAAAGAGGGGGTAATTTTCAATAAAATAGTTTCAAATCGCGGAATTCTATCTCCATTATTAATTATTTGTATTTAACGTCGAAATTAGGACGCCGCGTGACCGTTAGCCTAGAGCGCATCACCGCTGAAGATAGTATATCATACTCGTATAAAATAATTATTATATAGTATTAAATATAAATTTCAAAATTTGAAAAAATTATGGTATCATTAAAACACTTGAATAAACAACAGCACTTTGGAAAATATATTGTTTTTATCGATTTTTCAAAAAGTTATACAATCGATAATTAACTAGTTTTTTCCAATCTCTGTTTTTACAAGAGTCGACATGAAAGTTTAAATAATTGACATATATTTTTTTACTTCTTGGATTCCTTCTTATTTAGATACTTAACAAGATCACGTGAAAAAATTTTATTAAAGTTTTATATTTTATTTGTTATAATTTTTTAAATGAACAAAAAGTGAAATATTTAATAAAAATTGTAATTTTTTGACGCATGTATGTAATATATTGCTATTTTGGTATCTAACAATGACATTAATAAAAGCAGGAAAAAATTTTTACGTCATTTTTTAAGAAATTGCTTATAATTCTGTATTATAAGCAATTTAAAATTATAATTTATAAAATAAATAGCAAGTTTAATATTTTAAAAAAAATTTACCATTTTACTCTCATGGCAAAAGGATGATTTAAAAAAATCGTGAAATATATTTTTTGATTGTTTATAATCGTCTTTTTTATATTTCGTTTGTTGAAATAATTAAGTGTGATTTCTTTTTCTTTAAAACTAACTAGCATTTCTCTATAGATTAACAAAAAAATTATATAAATAATTTCATTGTTAGAATTTGTTGCAAACAATTTTTAATCTCCGGTTTATTTTTTTTGGCAGCAAAAAAAAATACAAAAACAGCCAGTTATTATATGATTTTGTAGTTGTTCTATGTTACCACGCCATCGATTTGAGGATATGTGGCTATTGCAGCTGATGGGCATCTGCAACCAATTTCAGATAAAAACGCAAGAAACATATAAACCCTGAGAACTGAGGTTAAATGACTCATTTTCAGTCATTATACTGGTTCCTCTAGCCTTTAAACCGGGACATAACAATGAGTGCATTGCCCCAAGACAGCAGAAAATACCATAACCCTTCTGCCTCGTATAAGTCTAATTCTTCTACGGTTTCATTGATGGCGACTGCTGGTTACGTGATCCCGTGTTCAATGCCCGCGACGAGCCATAATCCGTCATTGTATTTTCTACCAAGCAGTTCTCAATAGTGCAGGCCACAATCATGAAGTTAGCGGTGTTTTGTCTTCGTGCCTCAGAAAGCTCGCAAAGCCGTTGGCCCTGCGCCTGATCTTCCTGCGATCGTGTCGGAGTGCCGTCTCATTAGACTATAGGAGTGAAGGTTACAGAACGTGCATTTGTCCTGTGTCTAAACTCATACTGCATTAAACTAAACCATATTGCATTCTATATAGCAAAAGCATTTCTTACCAAGTAACATTCTATCCTTTTTGCCACGTTTCAGTTGCAGCATAGCTTCAGCGGTATCTGTTTCACGGTGATGAAGTTCTTCTACCTTTTCCCAACATAGTTGTTCCTCATTTAATCCGTAAACAGAAATCTTTGAAATTAATGTAAACACCATTAATATAATCATAATATTAACTATATAATCTATGGTAGTAAAAGATTGGTGTAGCAAAAGGAGTATGGGAGTAAAATAAATGCTTAAATTATAATTAATCTTTTATCACACAATATATTGTGTGATAAAAGAAAAGTATGGTTTATAAGTTGTATTGATCAGGATAATAAAAATAATGTTTTGGTAGTTTGAACTCGTGGAAAGAAGAAATGAGTAAAGAGTGACAAAGCAAATTTAAGCACTTTTATTCCCGTAGGGGTCTCTTTTTTACGTGGTAGAACCATGCTGCAGATATATTATGGTTGTAGCACGAATGGGTCGCCTCTTTGTTAATCAATAATATAATTTTTTTTATAGAATCGGGTGACAAACGAGCACACAGTCCACCTGATGGTAAGTGGTTACTGTGACCCATAGACATCTACATCTATCCTCAATAAAGACTCAAAATGCAGATGCGTTGTCACCCGTGAGGACCAAGATGGAATGCCTCTTCTCCAGTAAAAAGGGTCTCCGGTTCTCTAAACTCACCATACGAAAAACAGCAGCGTTAAGCTGCTATTTTACGCTGGTATTCTGTGAGAGCGTGGTCCTTCCCCGGTCGAGCCGAACCATTCGTGCTACAGCTATATTACTAATATAGCTGCAGCATGGCTCTACCACGTATAAAAATCGTCAATAATTATATACTACGAAAAGAACTTCGTTCCAACCGAGTATTCCACGACACTAGTGCATGTTTTTTTATTAATATATTTTACATATTTATTAAAATTTACACTAATAAAGTTTAGTCAAACTACTCAGCAAGTAGTTGACAGAAAAAAATATAGGAGTTTCTCTTGTATCATGAAGACACTTTACATAGTACATGTATTTCAGAGAGATACTATAGTACAAGTTAAAGACACGGAACAATAATTAGTTATAGGCCATAAAAATATTGTTCCGTGCGGGATACGAACCCGCGACCCTCAGCGCTAAAACGCATTGCTAAGCCACTGCACCACGAAGCAGTCAAAATAAAAAAATAAACAAATTAATTCTTCCCACAACGGGAGATGCCAATGGCCAGAAGTGGACTTTAGCACTAAAGATCCGATAGTCATCATTTACGACACTCATAAAAAAGTTAGGCGATGAATTCCGTAACTCTGAAAGTGACATTAACGAATGAAGCTTTGAATCTACCTGATATCCCCTATCAGGGTCACTGCTGTATATCTTAGTCCATTTCTTGTCCAGAGCTAGAGCACCTCTGCATCGCAGCGGTTGCATCCAGGTACCATTTTTGCAAAAATGTACCAATAGTCTATCGTCGTCGAGATCACCGCTCCACATCACTAGGAAGAAGTTCTCTAAATCTCTGAACTCCATTGCTACAAAAAACACGAAAATATAAATGACTAAAACAAAGGTTAGAACTAAGTTAACGCTAATGAGTTCTTATATTTACGCGAACGTTACACATTGAATAAAACTACTTTTACGGATTCTATCGCGTTTAATTAACTTATATTTTTTTATTAATTCCCGACGTTTCGGTTACTTTAAAGCATCGAAACGTCGGTAATTAATAAAAAATAAGTTAATTAAACGCGATAGAATCCGTAATAGTAGTTTTATTCAATAAGCTAATGAGTTAGTAAGTTCGCTTTTACGTCAATTTTTTTTTAATATAATAATAGTGACAAACGAGTGCACAATCCACGCAAGTGTAAGTGGATGCTGTGGGCCATGGACACATTTATGTATCCTCGATTAAGAATCAAAATGCAGATGCGTTGTCACTCCTGAGGACTAAGATGGAATGCTTCGTTTCCAGTGAAAAGGTCTCCGATTCTCTACTCTCTAATCACCATCATGAACAACAGTAGCATTAAGTTGCTATTTCACGCTGGTATAACTGACTGGATTTCTGGGCGAACCGATTTCGATGATTCTTTTTTTATTTGAATTTGATCCTTGTGTGGTTCCATATAAAATTGACCAATAGTTTTTGAGTTAAATATATATTAACCAATAATTTATATTGAAGTCGATTGTACAAAATTTTAAATTTAAATTATTATTTTTACAGAAGTAATGTGACAATTTCGAGAAGAACTTATGTGGGGGATTATCCCAAAGTTTGAAATAATAACAGAGAATGAATTGGTAAAGGTATTGCGAGGGCCAATGATACAATGCGTAAGCAGGTAGTGACAAAAACATGACAATGAATAGTACATTATATACATAAAATACTATAATTTAAAAACTATTACTATCTAAGGCGCATGGTTGCTAATAAAATTCGTCTGGCGTCAACAACTTACTTTAAAATGACCTTTTGAAGCAAGAGCTTTGTTGCCATGTAGTGGCGTCGTAAAAGAATCTACCTTTGTTTCATTTCTTGGGTATCGTAAGAGGCGGTTATGGCAAATGGAAGAAAGACTATAGCCTCCAATAGATGGCGATTTAACCATGTTTTTTAAAGTAAGGGTGACGCATGAATATACAGTCCACCAGATTGTAAGTGGATGCTGTAGCCCATAGACATCTATATCTATCCTCGATTAAGAATCACAATACAGATGTGTTGTCACCCCTGAGGATTAAGATGGAAGGCCTTGTTTCCAGGGTCTCCGGTTCTCTACACTCACCATACGAAATACAGAAGAATTAAACTGCTATTTTACGAAGGTATTCTGTAAAAGCGTGGATTTTCTTCGGTCGAGCCTATCCATTCGTGTTACAACCATAATATAGCCCCAGGGTGGTTCTGCCACTTTCTTTTTATATATTCGACGCTGCTCCTCGTCCCCATGTGGTTTCTGGTTCTGTGATAGTCAAAGATTACCCAAGATACCTTTACAGCCCATCAATGTCCACTTACCGGACATAGAACCCGCCACTGATAAACTCATTTGCCATAGTTGCCATACCCGTCAGGCGGGTTTGGAACCACAGTTTTTTTAGTTGTTATTGGGAAGACGCTGCTAAGCATCTCCTTGTTTGTTTCCCTCTGTCGCCTCAAACGACACCTACGGGATGATGTGAGTTACTAGATATTCTTACACTGCACAAGACAGAATATACCCAAGGTAAAACTACGGCATTTATAAACGTACATAGAATCTCCCAAGTGACGTCATCATACGGTGAAGTGTCTGGTGCTGATAAAGTCTGCTCGTGCTCGCCTCTCATACTGTACTGCACCCAGGAGTGAGGGCCGTAGATAAACATGTGGTGGTTCAGGACGTATACACCTCGGACCGTTTCACCTGAAAGTTAAACACGGTGTTTAAACACCATGGTGGGGCACATAGAGCCTGCTAATGTATGAAGGCATCGTAGTTATAAGTACAAGTAGTTTTATACGTGGTAAAGCCATACTGCAGCTTTACCAGTAGTATAGTTGGAGCACGAGGAGGTCTATATTCAGCACTGGATTTGATATACCTTAATGAATTTATACAGAAGACATAATCCAATCTTTATACGTGGTAAATCCATGCTGCAGCTATATCATAGTTGTAGCACAAATGGGTCGGATCGACTGGGGAAGGACCACGCTCTCACAGAATACCAGCGTAAAATAGCAGCGTAACGCTGCTGTGTTTCGAATGGTGAGTGTAGAGAACTGGAGACCCCTTTTACTGGAAACGAGGCATTCTCTTATTCATCTCAGTCCTCACGGGTGACAACGCATCTGCATTGATTTGTAGTTGAGGATGGATGTAGATGTCTATGTGCCACAGCAACTACTTATCATCAGGTGGACTGTGTGCTCGTTTGTCATCTTATCTTACAAAAAAGAAGTAAGCTATATGTATAACATTAACGTTCTGTGTTCTGTTTTCTGTGTTGGAATAAAGATTTGTATATTGGCTATTGTCTAAGCGAGGAAGTTATATTAAATGCTTTATATTGGGGTAGAAACCCATGGTCAGCAGTAGGCTGTTACGTACTGAAAAGAAAATAACTTGTTGTATTCGTGTCAAAACCTACATTTTTTTGGAACTAAACAACAAATGAACTCACAGTTCACCTGATGGTAAGTGTCTACAGAAGTCTATGGACAACTTTAAATTAAGAAGGGCACAGATACGTTGCCGTGTAGTGGCGGTTAAGAATATCCACTACCCCATATCTTCCCGTGGGTGTCGTAAAAGGCGACAAAGGGAAACAGGCAGGAGATGGGCAGCAGCATCTTCCTGATAATAGCCAAAATAACAATAAAAAAAACTGCGGTTGCCAACCCGCTCGCCAAGCGTGGCAACTATGGCAATATACCCCCCATGAGCAATGACAATAATAAACGGCCCCTAGTCCCCGGCGGCCCCGCTATTCCTGGCTACGGTGGCGACCACGGTAACGGCGGGGCAGGGGGTGCTAAGAATCTCCGGTGGAGGTTCGGTTGCCACCTACGACGACTCGACCTGGCAACATACAACGCACGCACCCTGAGGACTGACGAGAAGATTGTAGAGCTGGAAGAAGAGATAGACAAGTTACGCTGGCATATTATAGGATTATCCGAAGTCCGAAGAGACGGGGAGGACACGGTAATCCTCGAATCCGGCAACTTGCTCTATTACCGGGAGGGCGACCATCTGTCCCAAGGAGGTGTCGGATTTATCGTCCACAAGTCTCTCGTTAACAACGTTGTAAAGATTGAGAGTGTGTCGACGAGGGTTGCGTACCTTATACTCAGAATCACCAAACGGTATTCGCTGAAGGTCATACAGGTTTACGCACCAACCTCGGCCCACCCCGATCAGGAGGTGGAGGAAAAGTATGAGGATATATCTAGAGCCATGCATTCCTCCAAAACCCAATATACGGTGTTAATGGGAGACTTCAATGCAAAACTAGGCACAAGAGAGAACGGTGAGCTGAAAGTAGGGAAATTTGGAATAGGGCAACGGAACCCAAGGGGCCAGCAGTTGGCTGACTTCATGGAGAAATAGAGACTCTTTATGATGAACTCTTTCTTCCAGAAGCGGCCCCACAGGAAGTGGACCTGGTCGAGCCCCGACGGTTCGACAAAAAATGAGATTGACTTCATTATGACGACCAGACGACAACTGTTCAGTGATGTCTCAGTGATCGCGAGGGTGAAAACCGGCAGCGATCACCGAATGGTTAGAGGCACACTGAACCTAAACGTTAAGTTGGAGAGGTCTCGTCTAATGAAGTCAACGCTCCGTCCCCCTCGTGCTCTAATCCAAAGTCCCGAAACCTTTCAGCTCGAGTTACAAAACCGTTTTCAGTGCCTAGAAGACTGCAATGAAGTGGACGATTTGAATGACAAGCTCGTGGAAACTGTCCATGCGGTCGGAGCTAAGTTCTGCAAGACCCGCCGCAGAAGAACACAAAAACTCTCCGATCACACTCTTAACCTCATGGCTGTTAGACGGGAGATGAAGCTACATTCTTCAACAGATTTAACAGCATACAGGCAACTGAACAGACAGATCTCCAAATGCATGCGGCGGGACTTACGCAACTTCAATACAGCTCGTATTGAAGAAGCGATCGAGCGGAACCAAGGCTCCAAAGTCTTTGCCAGAGATCTGTCTGCCAGAAAGCGCCAACTGTCAAAGCTGAAGACAGAATGTGGCAGCATCGTTTCCGGGGCACCTGAGATTTTGAGTGAGATTGAGAGGTTCTATGGGCAGCTGTACACGTCATCGTTGGAGCCGCACGCAAGTGTGAGTAACGATCCAAGAGCGAGTCTTATCCGACATTATTCCGATGATATCCCGAACGTCAGTCTGAGCGAGATTAGAATGGCTCTCCAGCACCTTAAAAACGGCAAGGCCCCAGGCGAGGATGGAATTACAGCGGAGCTTCTGAAAGCGGGTGGGAAACCGGTACTTGAAGTCCTTCAGAAGCTCTTTAATTCCGTCCTCCATGGTGGCATTACACCGGAGGCGTGGAGCAGAAGTGCGGTGGTCTTGTTCTTCAAGAAAGGCGACAACGCTCTCTTGAAGAACTAGACCGATTTCCCTTCTGAGCCGCGTCTACGTGCTGTTTTCGAGAGTCATTACGAATCGTCTCGCGCGCAGACTTGACGACTTCCAGCCTCCCGAACAAGCCGGTTTCCGAAAAGGCTTTAGCACCATAGACCACATACATACCCTTCGGCATATTGTACAGAAGTCCGAGGAGTACAATTTGCCACTATGTCTGGCGTATGTGGACTATGAGAAAGCCTTTGATTCCGTCGAAATTTGGGCGGTGCTGCAGTCCCTTCAGCGGTGCCAAGTTGACTGTCGGTATATCGAAGTGTTGAAGTGCTTGTACAGTAGGGCTACGATGGCTATCCGAGTACAGAACCAGAGTACGAAACCTATCCAATTGCAGAGAGGTGTAAGATAGGGTGACGTCATATCCCCGAAACTCTTTACCGCTGCATTGGAAGATGTTTTCAAGCTTCTGGACTGGAAAGGATACGGTATCAACATCAATGGCGAGTACATCACTCACCTTCGATTTGCCGACGATATAGTCCTTATGGCAGAATCGCTGGAGGACCTAAGCAACTTGACTAAGCTCAATGACCTCAATAGTGTTTCCCAACGGATAGGTCTTAAGATGAACATGGACAAAACAAAGATCATGTTTAATGTCCATGTCACACCTATGCCGGTAGTTGTTGGGAACACTAAGCTCGAAGTTGTTGACGAGTATGTTTACCTGGGACAAATAGTCCGACTAGGTAAGTCCAACTTCGACCGAGAGGTCAATCGACGGATTCAACTCGGTTGGGCAGCGTTCGGGAAATTACGGCACATCTTCTCGTCAGGTATACCTCAAAACTTGAAAACGAGACTGTACACCCAGTGCGTGTTGCCAGTGATGACATACGGAACTGAGACGTGGTCCTTCACTGCTGGCCGGATGAGGAAGCTCAAGGTCGCTCAGCGAGCTATGGAGAGGGCTATGCTCGGAGTTTCTCTGCGTGATAAACTCAGAAATGAGGATATCCGCAGTAGAACTAGAGTGATCGACATAGCCCAACGGATTAGTAAGCTGAAGTGGCAATGGGCCGGCCATATAGCTCGAAGAACCGACAACCGATGGGGAAGAAAGGTTCTCGAGTGGCAGCCTCGTACCGGCAGGCGAAGTGTAGGGCGTCCGCCCACTAGATGGAGTGACGACCTGGTAAGATATGCAGGAAGTCGATGGATGCAGGTGGCTCAGGACCGTGCTTTGTGGCATTCTTTGGGGGAGGCCTATGTTCAGCAGTGGACTTGTGAAGGGCTGTAATGATAATGATGAGATACGTTGTCACCTCCGAGGACTAAGATGGAATGTGTCTTTAAATGGGAAATGACTGATCCCTGTTGAATCCACTGTTTTTCTTGGCATCACTCTTGACGTAAACCTTTAGTGGGGCCCCCATATATCTAAACTGGCAAGCAGACTAAGCTCTGTAGCTTGTGCTGTAAAAAGAATTAGAGGTCTTATTAGTGTCAAGACAGCTAGATTAGTTTATTTCAGTTATTTCCGTAGTATAATATCTTATGAGATTTTGCTATGGGGAAATGCCGATGATTTAGAAACTATTTTGTTTTGCAGAAGAGAGCCATAAGAGCCATTACCAACCTAACCCGAAAGAGTCTATCAGAGAAAAAAATTAAAGAAATAAACACTTGTATATAAATTTTGGCCACTCAATATATTTAAGAAAATTTAATTAAATCCACAAAAACAAAACTAATCGTAGTAAAAAGTGATATAACTCTGTAAACACTAGAAACAAACACAAGTTTCTCGACACCACAGAGTCATTAATTTATTCGTTGGGCAATCAGAAAGTAAAATATTTTATTGAAAAAAAAAACTGTGTAAAATGCGTGATTAGGATATAAATGAATACATATATATGTATACATAACCCTTGAGAATGAGGTGGTCGCTTCCAAGCTCTTTCTAAAATAAATATTGTAAATAGTTTAAACAACATTTCTTATTATATAATTTACTTAAAAAAGTCCCGCTGGGTTTCTTGCTGGTTCTTCTCAGGACCGAGGTTTTTTCCCAACCAGTGGTGATGTAATAAATACCTTCAAAAATTAAATGTAAACTATATTGAATAAAAATTATTATACTATTCTATCCCCTTGTATCCTATTGCATCCTGTTGTATCCTATTCCATCCTATGCCATCCTATTCCATTCTATTCCATCCTATTCCATCCTAGTCTATACTAATGCCTCACAGCGACTAGAGGGCTAGTTTTTTATAGCCTAAAATCAATACGCTATTACAACAAATTCTCGGCTAAGTCTCACTCTAATGGCTATACCATTAGACATGGAAAATCTGTCACTATTCTTGGCACTATACCGCTGTAGGACTGTTTGATAATTTAGTTTTGAGTTTCTTTCACAGTAATAACTATTATACATTTTTATATAGTTTTAACAATTAATTCATCTATGTTTTGTAAAAAAGAAATATAATATACTTACCCTCATCCAATGGATTCTCGATCGTGATATACTCGCTGGTCAACATGTTCAGTAGCATCGACTAAAAGTAAAAGAGGACATTTTATTTTCATTACTGTCGGAAACTGCTCGAGATAACTAATGGAAAAAGATATTATTAGTGTTAATGATGATATATGCGAATGGTATTATAACGTAGTAATTACTTGAAATAAGATTATTGTTTTTTTTATTATTTACTTCTTTATAACATAAGGAACTCTACACAAGCCGCACTGAAAAACATCGGCATTCACCAAGGAATGCTTCGAAGTAGGATCCTGAGCAACCTGCATCCTTTCACGTCCTCCATGTCTTATCAGGTCGTCACTTCATCTAGTGGAGAGCCGTCCTACACTTCGCTTAACAACACAAGATTTCCTACTCTAGAACAACTGCAAGACTATGATACAGAAAGTCCATTCTGTATAGATTGGACCAAAAATAATAATTAAAAAGCTAGATAAGTAAGGTACTTCGAATTAGTAAATAGCGATAAAGTCATAATATACTTTTATTGAATGTGTAGTGTAGTATACGCGTAAATATAAGAAATCTAAACTTATCTGTAAGGGTAATATACCACTTGTATAACATGCTCTCTTTGTGTAGACGCTTATGTCTATCACCCAAAGAGATGGCGGCGTCAACGTTCTTTCGTTTGGCACGATGCTGACATAACGCTCACTTTTATCACAACATCCATTTATCTATCATCATTTATCTCGTTTTTACGTGGTCGAGCCAAGTTGCAGCTATATTTATAGTATAGTTGTAGCACGAATGGGTCGGCTCGACCGGAGAAGGACCACGCTCTCACAGAATACCAGCGTAAAGCCATAGTGTTCCGTATGGTGAGTGTAGAGAACCGGAGACCCTTTTTACTGGAAAAGAGGCATTCTATCTTAGTCTTCACGGGTGACAACGCAACTGCATTTTGATTCGCAAGTGAGGAGATATGTAGATGTCTATGGACCTCAGCAACCACTAGGGTGACAAACGAGCACACAGTCCACCATCAGGTGGACTGTGTGCACGTTTGTCACCATATTTAAATAAAAAATATATCTACGTATGCATGCTCGTAGATTAAGGCTACTCTTAATTCCTTTTCCCTTGCCGATGCCGCAACGCACTTCTGCAGTTTGCTTTGTCACTCTTTCCTCATTAATTCTTTCTACATGTCTATCGTTACCGTTACAGCCTATTAAAGTCTACTGCTAAACATAAGCCTCCCCGTTAGATTACCTCATAGGGAGGATATTTGTCATAGTTGTAATGTAACTGTTGATTTGAAAATTTCACCTAACAGTGGGTCATGTGCTCCTAGTAGATTATCTTCTATACATCCATCCATTACACCCTATTAAAGTCCACCCATTCATTGATTTGTTTCCTTCTTTCACCTCTCACGATACCTACGGGATAGTATGAGGCAGAGGATATTCTTACACCGTCACCACCTGATATGTCTAAACTTACGAAATATTCCTATCTTAATTCGGGTCACAACGTCTAAAAATTAAAACTTACCACTGAGTTATTAGTAGAAGCTGCTGCCCACTTATTATCCGGCGATAGTTCTAAATTCTGCATGATTCCCTCCAGTTGTGGGCATAAATCCCTCGCCAGGTCTGACGTAGACAAGTCCCAGGAGATAACACGGCTTGAGATTGATACGACATACCGTTTGTCTGAGCTTAATCGGAAAGCGAATACAGCAAACTGATGACCTTCCAAGGAGTACTGCAAAAGTAAGATTGTAATAGATTTAATATTTTGAAGCTTCCTTTACATTGTTTTTACAGTAGTGGGGGCAAACGAGCATGTGGCTCACTTTATGGTAAGTGACTACCTCACTCATCAACTACTGCAACACCAGAGGAATTGCAGGTAGATTACCGAATTTTTAAAAAGGTTTAGTTTAATTGAGCTAAGTTAAGTAGGCTCTTATCATGAATGTTCCTTAGTCGATTCCACAAAGAAATCATACGAGGAAGAAAACTTCTCGTTAATTACTCACTGGTGCACTGCCAAGAATCAAGATGTTGCGGATGGTGCTGCGAATTTTGTCGCAATGTGCAATGATAGTATTTGGCGGCTCGAATAAATCAGAACAATTCCTTTGATATACTACATTTTTTATAAATATAAGTGAGCTGTGATCGTGAAGTGGCAATTCAAGAATATCCACTTATAACGCCGGTCAATGTCGTAAATGGTGATACAGGTAAACAAACAGGAGATGAGCAGCAGGGTCATCCATCATGGTATCACAAAGTTGATTAATGGAGAATCCATTACACTACTTTATCAAGCTCATAATCTTTAATTAGGTTATACTTTTATATGTGATAGAACTATGCTGTAGCTATATTACTGTGGTAATACGAGTAGCTCGCCTCGACCGGGAAAGGATTACGCTCTCACGGTATGCCAGCGTAAAATTGCAGTGTTATTATGGTGAATGTAGATCACCAGGGATCGTTTTCACTGGAAACCAAGCATTCGATCTTAGTCCTCAGGGGACCGTATCAGCATTTTGTTTCTTGATGGAGGATAAATGTAGATATTTATGGGCCACAACTTCCATTTAATATCAGTTTCAGTGGTTGTTTATCACCCTTATTCTATAAAAAAAATCTTATATCCTTATCACCTAATCACCTATCAGCCGTGGTGGCTCAGATGTTTAGCGCACGCTGTAAGTTTTACAGTACTCGAGCAACCCGGGTTCAATCCCCGCCAGCACAAATGAAATTGTTAATTGCAATTTTAAGTGCTGATTAACCACGTGCTCGGCGGTGAAGGAAAACATGGTGAGGAAACCTGCATGTCTGAGAAATAAGAAAAAAATATTTCGAAGACATGTGAAGTTCGCCAACACGCATTGGGGCAGCGCGGCGGACATTTCCTTGTCCTAAAACCCTCTCAGAAATGAGAGGTGGCTCTGCCCAGTCATCATCATCATTCATCATTACAGCCCTTCACGAGTCCACTGCTGAACATAGGCCTCCCCCAAAGAATGCCACAAAGCACGGTCCTGAGCCACCTGCATCCATCGACTTCCTGCATATCTTACCAGGTCGTCACTCCATCTAGTGGGGGGACGCCCTACACTTCGCCTGCCGGTACGAGGCTGCCACTCGAGAACCTTTCTTCCCCATCGGTTGTCGGTTCTTCGAGCTATATGGCCGGCCCATTGCCACTTCAGCTTACTAATCCGTTGGGCTATGTCGGTCACTCTAGTTCTACTGCGGATATCCTCATTTCTGAGTTTATCACGCAGAGAAACTCCGAGCATAGCCCTCTCCATAGCTCGCTGAGCGACCTTGAGCTTCCTCATCCGGCCAGCAGTGAAGGACCACGTCTCAGTTCCGTATGTCATCACTGGCAACACGCACTGGGTGTACAGTCTCGTTTTCAAGTTTTGAGGTATACCTGACGAGAAGATGTGCCGTAATTTCCCGAACGCTGCCCAACCGAGTTGAATCCGTCGATTGACCTCTCGGTCGAAGTTGGACTTACCTAGTCGGACTATTTGTCCCAGGTAAACATACTCGTCAACAACTTCGAGCTTAGTGTTCCCAACAACTACCGGCATAGGTGTGACATGGACATTAAACATGATCTTTGTTTTGTCCATGTTCATCTTAAGACCTATCCGTTGGGAAACACTATTGAGGTCATTGAGCATAGTGCTTAGGTCCTCCAGCGATTCTGCCATAAGGACTATATCGTCGGCAAATCGAAGGTGAGTGATGTACTCGCCATTGATGTTGATACCGTATCCTTTCCAGTCCAGAAGCTTGAAAACATCTTCCAATGCAGCGGTAAAGAGTTTCGGGGATATGACGTCACCCTGTCTTACACCTCTCTGCAATTGGATAGGTTTCGTACTTTGGTTCTGTACTCGGATAGCCATCGTAGCCCTACTGTACAAGCACTTCAACACTTCGATGTACCGACAGTCAACTTGGCATCGCTGAAGGGACTGCAGCACCGCCCAAATTTCGACGGAATCAAAGGCTTTCTCATAGTCCACATACGCCAGACATAGTGGCAAATTGTACTCCTCGGACTTCTGTACAATTTGCCGAAGGGTATGTATGTGGTCTATGGTACTAAAGCCTTTTCGGAAACCGGCTTGTTCGGGAGGCTGGAAGTCGTCAAGTCTGCGCGCGAGACGATTCGTAATGACTCTCGAAAACAGCACGTAGACGCGGCTCAGAAGGGAAATCGGTCTGTAGTTCTTCAAGAGAGCGTTGTCGCCTTTCTTGAAGAACAAGACCACCGCACTTCTGCTCCACGCCTCCGGTGTAATGCCACCATGGAGGACGGAATTAAAGAGCTTCTGAAGGACTTCAAGTACCGGTTTTCCACCCGCTTTCAGAAGCTCCGTTGTAATTCCATCCTCGCCTGGGGCCTTGCCGTTTTTAAGGTGCTGGAGAGCCATTCTAATCTCGCTCAGACTGACGTCCGGGATATCATCGGAATAATGTCGGATAAGACTCGCTCTTGGATCGTTACTCACACTTGCGTGCGGCTCCAACGATGACGTGTACAGCTGCCCATAGAACCTCTCAATCTCACTCAAAATCTCAGGTGCCCCGGAAACGATGCTGCCACATTCTGTCTTCAGCTTTGACAGTTGGCGCTTTCTGGCAGACAGATCTCTGGCAAAGACTTTGGAGCCTTGGTTCTGCCCTACACTATTCTGCCCAGTAGTGGGACGTAAATAGGCTGCAACTTTTTATCACCTTCAATGGTCCTCCTGGAGTATGCAAGCAATGGTGGGAAGGCAACAACGCACAATGATTCTTTCCAACACCGTGACACTGCTTTAGAAGTGAAGCGACAGCAGGATTATGGGGTGCTTCTGGTAAAAGTCTGCCGACCAATTGGGGCGCCAACATATCAGGGTATGCACCTAAAATAGCTCCACCCAAGCGAAGAGCATCTGCTACTAGCATCAGTTCTCTGAAATAATTTTTAGCACTGTGTTACTACATTTTTTAATAGAAAAGAATATTTTTTTTATTCATTATAGATTACAAGTAATTCTTATTGAACGTCAGTTTTAAATTTTAAGGAATCAGCAGGACTTTCCTTTGGTAATTTAGTAAGGTGTAAATATAAGATATCAATGTCTAAGTTCCGCAATATAAAATTTTGATCGTGAAGTCAATTTGGAAATCTTTTCTATTTGACTTTTCTTTTTTATATTTGTAATGGCGAGTCATAGCATGCTCCCAGGTCACACCAAACCTACACATGGTAAAACATGCCTCGACCATTCCACAATTAAAACTAAATGGCCCGTCACTTGTTTCATTTTGGAATCATCGATTACTGACCAAGAAAGTGTAGTAGTATTACTCAAGCTACTCGCCCAGAATACTTAAATAAACTATGCTATCGCATTGATTTTCTGTAATTAGAAAAAGCTATAAAAAAATTGAATACCAAATTATTATTGATTGCATGGATGCAAACCTAGCAACCGACCTACTTCTAAAATATTTAACCACATCCATAACAGATAACACCACTTTGGTTAAAACTCCCAATAGAAAACTTATCAGAAAACCATGGGTCACCAAAGGCTTACTGCAGTGTATGAAAAATAAGGACAACCTCTAAAAGAAATTGAAAAAGGACCCTGAAAATAATGTAATAAAACTAACCTACAAACGCTACCGGAACTACTATAACTCTATCTTAAATAAGGCAAAAAAAGACTATGAGAAACAAGAGATTGAAAAGGCGAAAAATAATAAAAAGAAGCTGTGGGAAACCATTAAAAAACTGAGCGGCTCAAATAAGCTAGTAGACCACTCATCCTGTCTTCTCTCTCCAGAAAGTCCAAAAAAAAGTATTAATGATATTAACTACTTCTTTGCTAATATAGGAAGGAATTTGGCTGAAGATATCATAAAATCTAGACATAAAATATCTACTAAACCTGAAGTCTTATATCCATCCCCCACCAACTCGTTTGTTATGCTACCAACGGATGAGGATGAAATTTCTAGAGATTTCTAGTGTAATACTTAAGAGATATATATATTCTTACCCCCCCCCCCCCCCCCCCCATTACACATATTTGTAACCTGGCTTTTTCTACAGGAATTTTTCCCTCAGCTTTCAAAACAGCGCTCATTAAACCAATTCACAAAAGTGGTAACTATAGGCCAATCTCCATCTTACCCACACTGTCCAAAATTAAAGCGCCTAATAAATAAACGCTTAATCAATTTCCTAGAGGGCAATAATCTCCTTTCACCAGTGCAATTCGGATATCGGCAAGGAAAGTCAACAAATAATGCGGTACAAGAGCTTGTTAACTCAATTATAAGCAACTTGGATGAAAGAAGAAAAAAAAAACGGTATTCTGAACATGTTCGCCGAACGATGTGACGGGCATATGCTAAGTCACTGGAATAGTATATTAAAAAGTAATTTTACATATTTAAGAAACTAACATTAGTATTTAAAGTGTAAAAATGTATTACTAACAAATTATGGATCAAGGTCTGAAATAAAGGAATTATTATTATGGGGTATTTGTATAGTTTTCTCATCTGGTTGGGCTGTATAAATATATAATTGTAAATGAAAATGATAAACTTACATAAATATCAATAAAATAAAATAAATACATAAAAATTACATAAATATATAAAAACCCAACCAGATGGAAGCCCTCGGCAGGGGAGACCAAACGGCCGAGGGTTAGGGAGAAAGGGAAAGAAACCGGCGGACGATGCGGGCGGTATCGAGGAGCACCGCCTTCTGCATTTGAGCTTGGAGCGATCCGTCACGGAGTCCCAGTCGCCTCAGATGACCCGAGAGGCTGACTGGGATTAACCCGTTCGCAGAGACGACCACAGGAATAATTTCGGCCGGCAGACCACCCCACATGTCGGTCACCTCGTGAGCCAGGTCCAGATATTTTGTCAACTTATCTGTTTCGGCTTTCACGAGGTTCTCGTCATAAGGAATGGTAATGTCGACCAAAAATATCCTTGACTGTGCCCGGTCCATCAGCACAATATCAGGCTTATTCGCAAGAATAGTCCTGTCCGTGATGATGGCCCGGTCCCAGTAGAGCCTGGCGCGGTCATTTTCGAGCACGGCTTCCGGCAAGTAATTATAATATGGCAGTTTCCGATCCACGAGACCGTATTTCAGAGCGAGCTCCTGGTGTAGAATCCTGGCTACTAGGTTGTGTCTGTGCAAATACTCAGAGTTAGAAAGCGCCGAACAACCGGAGATGACATGCCTAAGTGACTCACCGGGATGGCGACAAGCTCGACAGATGTCGACGGCGCCATCCTTTAGGATGTATCTCCGATAATTGTTGGTCTTAATAACCTGATCCTGTATCGCACAGACAAAACCCTCGGTTTCCCCAAAGAGGTCACCGAAACGTAGCCAGTGGAGGGAGGCGACTGTGTCTACGCAAGGCTCATGTAGAGCCTTGTAGAACCTCCCGTGGAGCTCCTTCTCCTTCCATACGGTCTCCCGGTCGGAAATGCTCTGTACTGCCGGGTCTTGCCATTGCTCGTTGGCTAAGGATAGAGGGGTAAGTCCTTTATCACAAGAAATAACGTCCCTATAGAATGGATCATCCGCTCTCGTCAGAAAGTAATTACGGAGGCTGCACACTTCGCGATTATGCATGGTAAGCGCGCTTAAAAAGCCGCGCCCACCATGCTTCCGCGGCAAGTACAGCCTCATTACTGACGATCTCGGATGATGCATCCTGTGGGACGTCATTATAGTGCGGACTTTTCTGTCCAGAGCGTTCAGTTCGGTCTGAGTCCACCTGAGCATGCCAAAGGTATACATGAGAACAGGCATGATCCAACCGTTATATGCATGTGTCTTATTAACGCCCGACAAAAGACTGTTGAGCACTTTTGTCAAGCGTGCATAAAACACACCGCAAACTGACCGTTTCATGTCCGCCTCATCGATACCTATGTTCTGTGACATACCCAGGTATCGGTATGTTTCAGCCTCGGATAGGGTCTTTATGTTGATGGGCATAGATAAGTCTATGCCCTCAGAGTTAGCAACCCTACCCCTTTCGACATGGAGGATCGCACACTTATCCGTCCCCAGCTCCATTCTAATAGAATTGCTAAAATCACAAGTGATGTTTAGCAATTCCATAAGATGAGAGCGACTGGAGGCGAATAACTTGAGATCATCCATATAGAAAAGGTGGGTCACTTTTGTACCTCCTCTCCGAAGCTGAAATCCCCTCCCGGAACCCTCTAGTAAGGTACTAAGAGGGTTCAGAGAGAGGCAGAACCAGATTGGACTCAGACAATCGCCCTGGAAGATACCCCTTCTTATCCTTATGTGGTTCTCCGCAGCCGTCATCCGCTCGCCTAGATGACAAAGGATCGTACTCCACTGCCCCATACACTGCCCGAGGAAGTCTCGAACTGTACAGTCAACCTTGTACAGCTCGAGGACCCTCTTCAGCCATGTATGAGGCACCGAGTCGAATGCCTTTTTGTAGTCTATCCAGGCGGCGGAGAGGTTCCGACGGTTGCGTTTAACCACCTTGCCAATGACCGCGTCAATGAGGAGTGGTTCCTTGGTTCCACGACCGCCGCCCCGACATCCATTTTGAGCGCGCGACATCACCTGATTTGAGTTCAGGTGACGAGTGATTCTCGCGCTCAAAATGGATGTCAGTGTCTTGTATATGGTAGGTAGACACGTTATGGGGCGGTATTTGCTCGGGTCTGTGGAATCTCGGTCTTTAGGAACCAGATGAGTGATCCCAGTAGTGAAGAGGCTCGGGAGCGACTTTTGGTCGAGAGCCTCTTGAAACTATCGGGCGAGAACAGCGTGACACACCACGAACCCCTTCAGCCAGTAGTGATGCAGTCCGTCGAGTCCCGGACTTTTCCAGTTCGGGGCCCTACGGACCGCCTCAGCTACGTCATCCGGCGTAATGATGACGGGGTCCATGGGCGTAACATTCGCACACTGACTCGCCACAACTTCCGTCCAAGGGCCCTCACTGTGGTTTACGGGCTCTGACCACAGGCCGCGCCAGAATGCGATAGTGTCGGCCTGATTCGGTGCTGGGCCCGTTCCACGTACCATTGGTCGCTCCAATGATTCATAGAGCCTCTTCTGATCACTCTGGAAGAGACGATTCTGGTTGAACCGTGTTGACCTCTCGGTATATCGCCGAATCCGCTTCCCCCAAGCAGCGATTCTCTGCTTCAGGTCGTCTATGCGCTCCGTCAGTTTTTGCGTTATATCCGGCTGGGACAAACTGATGTTTGTCCCAGCAAACGCCATCCTGACGGTGCGCACAATTCTCGGCCTATTATTGCCCGACCTGAAGCTTATCAGCCTGCCGATGAGGGCCCTTGCCTTTGCGATACGGTCCTCAATTCTTCTTCTCCAGGCTGGGATGGCGCTACTTTGTCTAGTAGCGCGTCCAGCCTTGGGAAGTTTGGCGCCAATAATACGGCAAACTGCCAGTGCGGCGCCAAAAAGAATTGAGTCCGTCTCGCAAAGGTCCCGGCTGGCTTCCAAATAGGTCACCAGCATTGGGTTGAGAGCCCTCACGACAGCCCGATTCCGCTTGCTTAGGGGTATACGGGGAAGTCGCGGTCGATTCTCGAGAGGCGTACTGCGCGTTTCCCTAATCGCCTCTTCCACTATGCTCCTCATTTGCTCTAGTTCTGGGGCGACTATTCCATCGTCGCCTGAGTCAACTACAAGGAGATCAACGGCGGCATCTACATGTGCGGGTTGCTCTGCAACTCGTAGAGCCGCATCTCCTGTCGTAGCATTTTCATTCGACAAAGGAATAGCCTCACGTCGTAGCCGTTCGAGTTCGGCGTCATCAAATATTTTATTATTATTATTATTATTATTATTATTAATTATATTCCTCGATCTAGCAAAAGCATTTGACATAGTCCTGATCCCGAACCTTATAACTAAGCTGGAAAAAATTGGTGTGAGAGGCTTACCTCTGCAATTAATAGAAAACTATCTGAGTGGAAGAAAGCAGAGAGTCGAAATAGAGAATAAGATAAGTGATGATTTAACTGTCGAATATGGCTTGCCAACGCTGTTCCTGGTATATGTCAATGATTTATGCCAGGTTCAGCTACACAAAGGGAAAATTCGCTCATTTGCCGACGATACTGCATTATTATTCAGTGGTAATAGTTGGAGAGAGGTCTTTGATTCTGCACAAAGCGGTTTTACTTAATGCTGCCTCTGGTTACAAAGAAATGTGTTGACATTAAACATTGACAAAACAAAATATATCACCTTCACACTTAGGTCGAGCCAAAACCCTCTTCCCTCCCTCTCCATCACAGCCCACGTTTGCAACTCTGAGCCAACTAATTGTCATTGTCTCGCTATACAAAGAACTGACAAGATTAAATATCTCGGAATCATAACAGACCAAACCCTGACTTTCAAGGCACTTATTAATGTACTTGTCACTAGGTTACGCAAGCTCATTTACATCTTCAAATCGCTTAAACACGTAGCTGACTGTCGAATCATCAAGATGGTCTATTACGCTCTATGCCAATCACTTACAGATTACTGCATCAGTTCATGGGTAAGTGCTGCTAAAACACACCTAATCGAGGTAGAAAGAGCCCAAAGGGCCATACTAAAAGTTAGTGCAAGTCTCCCGTTTCGCTGTCCAACAGTGGACCTCTACAATAAGTGGGATTTTCTAAATTCTAGACAAAAATTCATCTTACAAACTGTCCTAATGAAACATTCTCAATGTAAATACGATCCGGTATTGCTAAAGGAAAAACGCACAAAAGGTACTATATTTCGCACCCAATCCTTCCATTCTGTTACCTCACACAATTTCTTCTGTTTTCTAGGACCGTACATGTATAATAAACTAAATAATATCCTAAATTTCTATCCTTTACCTAAATCTAGTTGTAAATCACTTCTAACAAAATATCTGAAAACTTTAGACTACGAATCGACCGAAAACCTATTAAAGTCGTCTATATAATATATAGTAATCTCGCTCAGCCACGAACTCCCTATAGTCTCGCATCTTTTCATCATTTTGGTTTAAAATACAATTTTGTATCATATGTTAATCTCACACAAGCATTCACACACACACTCACACATACACTCAGGCACGCGCAGATGCACGCGCACATACAAGCGCACGCGCACGCACACGCACACACGCACACACACACACACACACACACACACACACACACACACACACACAAACACGCGCGCGCACGCACTGACTTGCACGTGTTCAATAAACTCTATACATAGTACATACACCCATTGATGTCTTAAATCTGCAATTACTGAAGTTAATTTTATTTATTTACATAATATATAATCTCCTTTTTTGATTTGTATTATTCAGATTGTTGCTCTAGCCGCGGGGGAGCCCTGGTGACCTGTAATACAGGTTTTTATACCTACATTAGGTACCAGTCTCTCAAAAGTTAGGTACCAGTCTGGCAATTTTGTAATATTTAGCATTAAGTTTACCTATTGTGAAGAGAAAATAAATTCATTCATTCATTCATTCATTCAATGTAAAGGTACTGTAGGGTACTGTACTTACAAAAAAAATTTGTTTATTTATTTTAATAGGACTACCAACAGTTGTTTCTAAGATTACTAATAAAAATACCCAAATAAAAGGGAGAAATGAATTAACAAGATAGGACTTAATTTAGTGAACAATCGGGGCACATAAATCAGTTAAATATATTTTCAGATATACCTGTAGTGGTGTTTTTAGAATATCGAATACCCCATATCGTTCCGTGGGTGTCATAAAGGGCGATAGAAGAACATGAAACAGGAGATGGGCAACAGTATCTTCTGATAAACTGAAATATTTTAAAAAACGCGGTTGCCAACTCGCCTGTTGACCGGAATAACTTAAGCAAAAATACTTTCGCTATGAGTCAATCTATTACAGTGGTCTATGTTCAGCAGTGTGTTTCATAGACCGTAATGAATGAATGAATTTCTATTAAAATAATCCAGCTGTGACGAAAACTTCCGAAGACTATTGGAAGATGTCAGGATGTGTTATTGTGACATCACAAATGATCAAAGGGGCAATCGTTTGTTTTTACCAATCCCTACTCGATGTTTTCACGGTATTTTGACATTTAACTTAGGCCACGTTTTCACCTGCAAGAAAACTCACGGGAGTCTTGTTTGAATTTCTCGCAACATTTTTTTATATATCTAATGAGTTCTTGCAATTTTTTTCTGCATTAAATATCTCGTGAGAATTTCGCAAATCATACTATCGCAACTTATCGCAGAGGTTACACACGATAGCTATACTGTGTATCCCAGTAATGGTACATAATCTGAAACGTACTAAAATAAGTTTTAACTAAAACAGTAGCATATCATGTAAGTACTTAATGTCTTTACTTAATGAGCTATAACCGTTAATGTGTAAAAGTAGGCATTTCATTACAAAATTGTTTGCAGATAGTTTTTTAACATTGCATGTATTTAATAGGTAAGTCCATGTATATATCGAGAAGGCTATGATAATTTAGTTTAGAGTGTTGTTGCATGAGGAAACCCGGCTTCAGAATTTATTTTCCATATCTCATGTTAGGTACTTTTTTTTTTATAGGAGAGGGGGTAAACGAGCTTGCGGCTCACCTGATGGTAAGTGACTACCGCCGCCCATGAACAACTGCAACACCAGGCGAATCGCAGATGCGTTGCCGGCCTTTTAAAAAGGAGTACGCTCTTTTCTTGAAGGTCCCTAAGTCGTATCGGTCAGGAAAAATCGCTGATGGTAATCGATTCCACAAGGAGGTCGTGCGAGGAAGAAAACATCTTCTAAATCGCACAGTGGTGGACCGCCAATCATCCAGATGGTGTGGATGGTATCGGGAGTTCTGCCGCGATGTGCGTTCGTGAAATTTGGTGGCTGGGATTAATCCGAACAATTCCTCAGAGTAGTATCCCGTAATTAAAAATTTGAAGAGAGTTGTAAAAGATTTAAATAATAAATAAGACTTTTAAATTTTGATCATTCACATCTTTCATTGCGAACATGAACATCGATATGGATCGCGAAATAAACCGCCCGTAATATGGAATGATATCTAATGCATTTTATAAAAAGAGATATGCTCATCAATAATTCCTATTTTAAATCCAGTGTAGTTTTTGCGAGATATACGAAACTAAACCGATAGGCAGCGAGATTTAGATTTGCAATCAATCGCACTTGCAATTACTCGCAGGAAACTATTGACAAACTGTCGCGAGTGCGCTTGCTACGTAGTTTACATCCGGAACTTAAAGTAATTTGTATACGTCTGAGATCTGCAAGCTACTGTCAGACACTTCTTGCAGAACTTTTCTTGCAGGTGGAAACGCAGCTTTATAGTAGACTTACATTAATTTAACATTATTTGTATAATTGTGTATATCTCATCAATCAACACACCTTACAGCATCTTTGTTGACGTGAAGTTTAGCATCTTCAAAATCTGCCAAAACAGCCTGCAGGGGACAGCAGTTTAACTTTGCATGTAGCCATTCGTAGTTGAATAATACTTCCGCGTAAAGATCCGCAAATCGTTTAGATCGAACAAGATGAAAAGGCAGCTCACCAAACTAGAAGATAAAATAATATGCAATGAATCACACAACGTGTTAAAATTATTTAGAAACATTTATCTTAATATGCAATTTCCGTATAATAGCTGCAGAAATCAATGCTAAGACACAGTATTTAAAAGCAAAGAGTATATAACTACGTTTTAGTATGAGAAAATTAAAGCCTGGATTTTAGAAATTATTTTATTCCTTTTAGTTAATTGGAGTATGCTTTTACTTTTTAGTCCAAATATTAAATTTTCTGACACTTTTGAGTGAACTTTTGAAGGAATACACAAACAAAAGTTTACAACTATAATGTCGTCAAAAAGTTACATTAAAAACATCAGACCCTATTTTGAAACCGTTATGGGAATTATCGCCAAATGTATATATGACTAACTTTGAAGTACAAATTATTACCAGATAGAACAATTGACATAGATATCGAATAACATACATACAAAAAAAAACTTATAGTCGAATTGAGAAAGTACTCCGTTTTTGTGGACTGCGTATAGACATATACATTTATCCTTCATTAGCAATCAAAATGCAGATGTGTTGTCGCCCCTGAGGACTAAGATGGAATGTCTCGTTAGCAGCATAGAGGGTCTCCGGTTTTCTACACTCACCGTACGAAACAAAGAATCATTAAGCTCCTATTTGACCCCCGGTCGAGCCGGCCCATTCTTGCTACAACAACCATAACATAAAAAACGTGTAAAGCGTGGCCACTATCGCAAATATTCTCCATTTGAGGCAATTTTTTTGAAAACTATGTTCGAAGTGGACTTTTAGCAATGGACCAGCCATATAGCTCTAAGAACCAACAACCGATCGGAAAGAAAGTTCGAGAACCTTTTAAAGTGGCAGCCTCGTAAGCGAAGTGTAGGGCAGTTCCCCATTAGGTGTAGGGACGACCTGGTAAGAGATGCAGAAAGTCATTAGATGGAGGTGGTTCAAGATTGTGATTTGTGTTGTATCACTTAGGGTCCCAGTAGGTAGTCACAGTGAGTCCCACATAACCACGACAGACCGACTGTCGTGGTATGCATAAAGCATTCTCCACTTCCCTGCGCAATCGGGGTAGCCCTTTCCAATTGCTTCTGGGCGCAAAAAAAAACTGCGCAGCAGGCAGTCTTGGCTCTGGCGTGACTTGGTGTACTGGTTGTACCAATCTAGCTTATCCAAGATGCTCACGGATAAATAATTTTAAATTAATTTTTATCATTAATTATAAAAGTGACCTCGTGCAATTTATAATTAATAAAACTATATATTATCTTGTAATCCCTAACTTCTTATTCAGCATACCCCTTTCCTCTTTCTCCTACATATGGATATCGTCACATTTTATTTACAAAATACCATGAAACATTAATCAGGAAACTACAACACTACGATGTAAGAAGTATAGCTCTCAAATTAATTGTTTCATATTTAAGTAACAGAACAACTGTAACGGTTACTTACAATAATACGAGTATACCATATTATTTGGTCACAACATCCACTTACCATCAGGTGAACCATGTGTTCGTTAGTCACTTATACTCCAATAAAATATCAGCGTCTATTCGAAGAAATTTAAATTAGCATTATACAGATCTAAATAGTATCTTTCAATTATACAGAACGTATGTAATATAAGACCCATAAAACGATAAACGGATTACGGAATGTTGAACGTATATCCAATTTAAATTATGCCCGTATAAAGCGTCTTGAAGCAGAGGTAAGCAATTCCTCATATTATCCATAAAGTAATGTTTATGTATGTACACATAATTGAATAACGAATGGAACTTTATTGCTAATGATACAATTAAATACGTCTTACGTAAGTTATTTTAATAAGATTAAATAAACGCATTTATCTAAACATATATACATGAAAATAGAATTGAAGTGTCAGTTTGAAATATCGAAATCTTTTACTGAGCTGAGGGGTCTATCGGCATTTTATAAATTTTGTCTTTCTGTCTGTCTGTCTGTCTGAAACTTAAACTAACAGATAGAGAGCAATGTCAGAAGTGATCTAGGTTATATCTTCGACCGACTTAAAAAAAAGGAGGAGGTTCTCATTTCGAACTTTTTTATGTGTTTTACCTCAGAACTTTTTTTCTAGGTGAACCTATTTTGATGATTCTTTTGATTAATGGTTTATTTGAACGGTGGTGCTTCTCATGTGGTCCCGTATAAATTTGATCAAGATCTGACTAGTAGTTTTTGAGTTATCCTTAATAATGCGTATTTAATTGACTTCGACTACATTGATGATGTTCTCATTTTATTTATATTGAAGTGAGTTGTACAAAATTTTTAATTTTATCACTTGTTTTTTTGAGAAAGTGAAAAATTGAAGGAAAAGGGGAGACCTCCCGCCGAGCATGTTGTACAGTCCGGGGAGCGGACAGCGCTTCGTCTGTTATTTCGGAGCCAATGTATATATACTGCTTTACTTCGGAACTTTGACAGCGCGATTTAGGTTTCTATGTGTTTCGCTTGTGGCGCAGCGACAGCGTCGCTACAGATATCTGTCTGGATCAGGAGTCTCCTCGGTTTTTGTCTGATTTCGATTCCGATACCTTAATGTTGTAAATTAACAAAGATAGGTAATTAGTAGTAGGTAGTCATTTTTGTACATATATGTATTATGTAAAACAGTGTAAGCAGTTTACGTACTTTCACGAAACAATTAACTTACAGAAATTATTTTAGGTAAGGTAAGCATCGAATATTGCTCTAACGAACGGGTAGGCCGAATCGAACAACATACTGAGCTTAAAGAGGAAAAAACGTTCTACCTTACATGATTCTATTTCAGTCTATAGTCCAACTTACAATGTAAGTTTGTAATCGCAAAATATATTGTTATGTGATACAACTAAAAATTAAATATTTTCATGATTTTTCCTTTATACCTTGATTCCTGCCAAATGTTATGATTCTAGGTATATCAGTTTTCTTGAAAAGTGAGTGTGCGAGTATCAAAATTTGTGACATAAATGGCCGTGTCATTTAATTGCATTGATTTAAAGGCTTGGTTTTTTTAAATCTTCGGTAGACCACAGACCTTAGTTTATGTTTAAACAATTACTAAATCAGAGCCAGACAAGAGCAAAATTAAACCTTATATTGATATATCGAAAAGCAATACCTTTCTCAGATTATATCTCTTTGAAGAACCATCCGCTGAAGTAAATACAAGCGGTTGTAAAGGAACCTTCCTGTCAGCAACACCTTCCTTGTCGGCCAAGTTGAATCGGTGACGTTGGATCTCCGTATACTTAAACGGTTTGGGTATACCTCCTCCCCAAATACCTAGAATAAAGGTTTATTACGAATCCATATAAAAAAGTACAGAAATAAAAATCTAAACACTCCACTACTTAGGAAAGGGCTAATGTAGTAATAAAAAGTAAAGTTATAGCCTATATAAGTCCCGCGTATTGTGGGTGTATGAGAGAGAGGGAGAGGGAGAGGGAAAGGGAGAGGGAGAGGGAGAGAGAGAGAGTAAAAAAGAGAGAGAGCTATAGAGTAATCAGTGCTGCTCTAGTACGTGTTAACGGACGTCCTACGCACTCAAAATATTTAATTCTTCTGTCGTACATGTTATTCCACTAATTAGAAATAGGCTAATGTAATAATAAAAAAGTAATGTTATAGCTTATATAAGTCCCGCGTATTGTGGGTGTATGAGAGAGAGAGAGGGAGAGAGAGAGAGAGAGAGAGAAAGAGAGAGAAACAGATATCGGGAGAGAGAGAGAGAGAGAGAGAGAAAGAGAGAGAAACAGATATCGGGAGAGAGAGAGAGAGAGAGAAAGAGAGAGACACAGAGATCGGGAGATAGAGAGAGAGAGAGAGTGTGTGTTTAGAGCAATCAGTGCTGGTCTAGTACGTGTTGACGGACGTCCCACGCACTCAAAATATTTAATTCTTCTGTCGTACAGGTTTTCTCATGATGTCTTCCTTCACCACTGAGCACGTGGTAATTCTACATTTAAAATTGAAATTGACAATTTTGAGGTACCGCCAGTGATCGAAGTAGGTTGCTTGCATACTGTGAAACTCATAGCTTGTGCTTAGTTCCTTGGCTATTAAGGCTTCATCGTGTCATGAACCTTTTTTACCCGCTGAGTGATGATGTTGGAGGAGCGTGATGTTTTCCGAGAGTATGTATGTATGTCTATTTCTTTGCCACGCTCTGTAGTCTAAGCTTATGTAGGCTAGATGTATTTTAGCATATGAGATGTCATTTAGATTCGTTTTATTTGTGAAAATGACATACACTATGTAATATTAATGCTGCATCTCCACATACAAAAAGGGAGGCGATGTTTTTTGTCAGTAACATTTTTAACGCAGTCGGGTTTATCTAATTACTGTTTAATCAATTTACGTGGTAGAGCAGACTGCAGCTATATTAGTAGTACAGTTGTAGGATTGGCACGGGTTGACTGGGGAAGGACCACGCTCTCACAGAATACCGGCATAAAATAGCAGTTTAACGTTGCCGTGTTTCGTATGGTGAGTGGAGAGTACCGGAGATCATTTTTACTGGATACGAGCCATTTCACCTTAGTCTGCAAGGCTGATAACGCATCTGCATTTTTATTTGTAATCGAGGATAGATATAGATGTCTATGGGCCACAGCAACCACTTACAATCAGGTGGACTGTGTGCTCGTTTTTCGCCATAATGATTTTACAAGCTTATAATAAGTACAAAATTAGTATTACGCTAGTAACTTATTACCTAAGTAATAATCAGCTATCATAGAATGGAAGTACATAGCCATGTTCATATTCTTGAAGTATCGCTCACGAGCCGTATCCCTGAATTGCCTGTGATACCAGTTCATAACGGATACCCCATCGGCTTCACGTTCGGATAAGTAATTAGGCAGGTCATTGCGTATTCTAAAAAAACAATAAAATAACTATTAAGGTCGTTGTAGCGTCTGTTAGTGATCGGGTTACTTCTGAATGATTTGAACAATGGAGGTCATATTCACAGCGTATAATTTTTTGTAGAGACGATGAACTATAGTTATGCTATAATCCAATATTAGTAGCTGCAGTAAAGTTTTTAACAAATTCTTTATTTTATTTATTTACTCGCTGGTACCCGGAAAAAATAAAAGGAAATATCGTTTTAAACTTGGAAGGGTTATATTGTTTAATTATGAATGATAATGCATTAATTGAAATTGATGGAAGTATGATTGTCAAACAAATTTGTCGGTAAGATACGCTCGCCAAGTAAGCTATGCCTATAATTTTCGCGCAAGTGCAAGTAATAAGTTGACAAAGTTTTAGCGCAATCTGATAAACGGTGTGTCAGCGTAAAAAATACGAACAAATAAACAATAATTTTTTTTATATATTAGATTTATACTTTACTGACCATATAAAGTAATATGGGTTGACTTATCACCTTTGGGATTAATGAAATTAAATGAAAATATCATGAGTCATAAAACTGGTGAATCATTATTAAACGAATAATGATATCGATGAATGAAATGTATATTAAAATGTACAAAAAAATTATACATTCACAATTTACGTTATGACAATCACAAAATCTGGACCCGATAGGTGCTACTGTAGTCAAGTTATTAATAAATTTTATGCTAACACTGTAAAAAGTCCGAAGTGAATTTGAAACAAATTATAAGGTCAGCCATTATATCAATAGTTCGAGTATATGAATGAGCACTAGACCGTTTTAGATCTAGTGCTCGTTCATACACTCTTGTATTGAAATGCAAGAAGTAAATTTTATTTCTTCTTATTTTTCTTCATCACTCTTAATTAATTCCATTATTTACGCTGAAAAGGCGCCTCTCCTGTTAATGAATGAGATGTAATACAGGTTAATTAAAAGGTACAAAGTAAGTTATGTTTGTAAGAAAGCATGCGTGCTGATAAACATTTTAAAGAAAGTGTAAGTAAATTGTGTGTTTTTGTTTGACGCTTGATTGGCGGTGTAAGAATATCCACTAACCCATACCATCCCGTGGGTATCGTAAGAGGCGACAGAGGGAAACAAGCCAGGGGATGGGTAGCAGCGTCTCCATAGTAATTACAAAAAAAAAAAAACTACAGTTACCAACCTGCCAGTCAATCGTGTAAACTGTGGCAAATATGAGCCATGATATATGAGGCATACTATGGAGAGGCCTACGTTCTGCTGTGGACTTTTGATCGACTGTAGATATTGAAGATAAATTAAAATATTGGTTTGATTGTAATAAAACAATTGAAATGAAAGAAAATGTTATACAAACTAATACCTGGTCCATAGCAATGGGGGAATCCTTCTCACTGGTGGCAAGTGGTATTGATAGACGTCATCAAGGACTTTGTCGTCTAGTGAAATTAGGTCTTCTAGTTCAGTCTCAGAAAGACCACTTCGAGCTGCTGTTATGTAAGCTAACGCGTGAAAGACTAAGAGTCGCCCGTGCTGGAAGAAAACATGATAATTACGCCGTATAATTATGCTGTACCGGTGTACGACGGCGGCGTCGTCGTACACCGGTACAGCAAAAATTGTAAACAACACGTGAACTGATCATGCCACCCGGCGCGCCACTCGATATCCCCCAACGCACCACTACTCGACTTGTTTTGCAACGGATATAAAACGAGTAAAACGACCGAGCAGCCCTGCGCCCTCTTCTCCCAAAAGAGGGTCGCGTCCGATCCGACGAAGCGTCTTAATCGGCCAATCGTCAGTCCCCAAAGTGGAGTTTAGTGGGTATCACTTAGGGTCCCAGTAGGTAGTCACAGTGAGTCCCACATAACCACGACAGACCGGCTGTCGTGGTATGCATAAAGCATCCTCCACTTCCCTGCGCAATCGGTGTAGCCCTTTCCAATTGCTTCTGGGCGCAAAAAAAACCGCGCAGCAGGCAGGTCTTGGCTTTTGCGTGACTTGGTGTACTGGTTGTACCAAGCTAGCTTATCCAAGATGCTCACGGATAATTAATTTTAAATTAATTATTATCAATAATTATAAAAGTGCACCTGGTGCAATTTATAATTAATAAAACTATATATTATCTTGTAATCCCTGACTTCTTATTCAGCATACCCCTTTCCTCTTTCTCCTACATATGGATATCGTCACATTTTATTTACAAAATAGCTTTACGAAAATTCTATTTTTGTGATCTTTGGTACTGGCAGCACAATTTTAAATTTATCGTAGTAGGGCAACGCTGCAGCTATATTAGTTGGAGCACGAATGATTCGACTCGACCGGAGTAGGACCACGCTCTCACAGAATACCAGCGTAAAATAGCAGCATAATACTGCTGTGTTTCGTATAGTAAGTAGAGAGAATCGGAGACCCTTTTTACTGGGAACGAGGTATTACATATTAGTCCTCAGGGGTAACAACGCACCTGCTTTTTGATTCTTAATAGAGGATAAAAGTAGATGTCTATGGGCCACAGCATCCATTTATCATCAGGTGGACTGTGTGCTAGTTTGTCACCTTTATTTTATATTAAAAATACTTAACTAACAGCCTGGACTCGTGCTACTTTAGTTATAAGTTTTCTAGGTATCGGTTTAAGAAATCTTCTTAGTTTTGGATTGTCGTATTATTTGTGTCGGTACTGATTTAAGTAATAAAATCTAAATATTAAGTTAGACCTGTCCTTTGTCACAGATATAAGGTAGACAAGCCAAGTATTAAGTTCCAACGAGAATGCTTTATTGCTAGCTAGCAACAGAAACAGCGGGATATATAAAATATTTACAAAAAGATTCATTTGTTTCAACACTTCTATAACGACAAAGCCGATATTCTAGCTTGCTATGAAGTCATTTGTTACTCGTTTTACAACCAATTATTATCAGCACATTACTTGACGTTGAAAGTTTCGTGAAAGCGTCTGTAAATATCATCTTTGTCCAGTAAGATACGAACTTACATTCCACCTGATGGTATGTGGCTACTGTAGTCCATGGACACCTGCAGTCAATTTCAAGTAAAAAAGGCTACAAATGCATTGTCACTAGGGTTTGGGTTCCGGGACGTCTCGTGTCTCGCGGTCCCGGGACTTTTCGTTATTTTAGTTGTCTTGAGTCCCGGGACTTTCGCGTCGAGACTCGAGACGAGTCAAGAATGTCGAAGTTGTTATGTAATCATTTTTAATTTCAAATAATTGAAGGAGCCTAGCTCCATGTGTTAGTTTAATGAATAATTACTTGGTCTACTACGTAACTACTGAGTATGCAACACAATAAATTAAACAAATATGTGATTATGAGAATTAACAATGAGATTATAAACAATGATTAGATGCTAATCTTACTAAATAATAGTAAAATTATTAAGAATTAGTATGTATTATTATCGACCCGAAAGTCCCGGGACTCGAGACGAGACAAGAATGTCAAAGTTGTTATGTAATCATTTTTAATTTCAAATAATTGAAGGAGCCTAGCTCCATGTGTTAGTTTAATGAATAATTACTTGGTCTACTACGTAACTATTGAGTATGCAACACAATAAATTAAACAAATATGTGATTATGAGAATTAACAATGAGATTATAAACAATGATTAGATGCTAAACTTACAAAATAATAGTAAAATTATTAAGAATTAGTATGATTTTTAACTAAGTTCGTTTCATAACTATAAGATTTAACTGTTTAGGCCGATTTTAGAGTCGCGCTGATCGTCAGCACTGACAGCTCAGCGCGTAGCTCGCCAGCGCGTAGCTCGCCAGCCCGTATTTGTAGGAACTCGTTTTAGTGTTATACAGACCACTGCGAAGTACAGACATGGCCAATCCCATGAGTGTTAAAGTTGCTCAGCGCGTGCGTTTTTCGTGACACAGTAACGATAACTGAGCTCGGTAGCGCGTACGGTAGGTATGGTAGGTGCGTACGGCCAAGTATGGCTCGACGCTGACGGTCGTCAGCGCTGAGTGGTCGGCGTTTTCTAAAACGCTCCTTAGGCATACATATTGGCCTGTCAGCTCTGACGATCAGCGCGACTCTAAAACCGGCTTTAGAAGTGCATCTGTGTGTGACTAAAAAAAATTAACAAAGCGGTTATTAAGACTGAAATTAACGTTAAAGTTATTTATTTTTCTGTTTAATTGTTTAATAAATGTTAATTTTTACAAAAAATTGCCTCTTTTCAATAAGTTTCACCAGAAATTAACTCAATTAAAATTCTAAAAAAAAGACTTACCCATCTTAAAAAAAAACAAAAAAACAGCCTATAAACAAAGTCCCGGGAATTCCCGGGACTTTGATTATAGGCTGTCCCGTGTCCCAAGACTTTGAAATTGTCGGGAATTCCTAAACCATAGTTGTCACCCCTTAGGACTAATATGGAATCTGTGCAAGCGCTGCTATTTGGCGGCAGGAATAGGAAAGAGGAGGGTACATACTCAGACGGACCGTTAAACAGAAATGTTCGCCTACCACCACCATATAAGTCGAGCAAAGAGCCAAGGCAACATTTGAAGTAGGAAAACGGCACAAATATGAGTTTCAGGGAAATATATATTTGTGCTATTTATATTGATGTGTACGAGAACCTACTACCCCATATCATTCTGTGGGTGTCGAAGGTAATGGCAAAGGGAAATTTATTTATTTTACTCTTTTTTGTACACCAAAATACAAAATGAGGAGTACAGTTAAATCTTAAGTAGAATATGTACAACAGGCGATCTTATCACTCTGAAAGTGATCTCTTCCAGACAACCTTAGTGTAGAGAACTGGTGCAAACTATAGTTATAAATAGAGGGGGGCGTACAAAATAAAAATAAAAATATGAAAATACATATAAATAAAAATAAGTGAATATTATATACAACATCATATAATAGATTAAATGAAAAGAGTTTCGTACTCTAAAAGAAAAGTAATTTATCTAATAGTGTTCTAAGTAATACGATTTGACTAGACTTTTGAAAGAATGAAGAGATTGATCACGACGAATGTGGAGAGGTAAAGAGGGAAACTGAAACACGAGATGAGATAATTAATAGAATCAGGCGTTACTTTGCGGAAGTCCATTATATTAGAGTTGGTAAAAAATTACTTCGCGTACATCCGCTCTATAAAATAAAATGATGTGTCTTAGCTAGTTTGAAGAGCGGTTGTCTCAGCGGTCTATATAATTACGAGTTGTTTTGGCTCGCCGCTCACTTAGCGGTCTGCCACCGCAGAGTCGACTTCACCTGAAGATGCTTCGTGTAGAGGCGAAACACGTGTCGTATTGTAGTCAGTGGTGTGTCTTTCCTAGTGTAGTGGTGTTGGGAGTAGTGGTGCTGGGGTTAGTGGTGACGGTGATAGTGCACGCAATTGAGGGAGGGCGGGAGGTGCTCTTCATACTAGGTAAGACACATCATTTTATTTTATCGAGCGGATGTACGCGAAGTAAATTTTTTACCAACTCTAACGAGATGAGATAATAATAATTCCTGAAAACAATAAAAGTGTAGTGTAGCCCCCACGACAGTATATATTAGTGTTAAGTTAGAATAAGTAGAGCAGTATAAATAAGTCTTGAACTGAGCAACGTGTCTCCTCCTTCATTTAACACCTACCAAGATTACATGGCAGCCCTGCTAAGATAGGGCACCGTCGTGGCCTGCCAGGATTCGAACCTGGAATCTTCTGTTATTTTTATATCTTTTTGTCGGTGGGAGGTGTTAAATGAGAAGAAATGGGTACATAAATTATACTGCCCAAACTTATTCTAAGTTAACACTTATATACATAATTATATTGCATTTAAAATTAAACGCGATACAATCCGTAAATATAGTTTTATTCAATGTGTAGTATTCGCGTAAAAATAAGAAATCATGCTGCCAAGCGTGGAAGAATCCCCTCTATAAAGCAACCTATGTGAGAGGCCTATTCCATATTAAGTATATAAATAGTACGTAGCCAAACTAATGCATACCCAAGGATCTTTCTATAGGTTTAGTTGTAGGCCGTTTGTTAAAATTGTGGAGTGATCGTCTTAGTTAGGAGGATCCTTCCTTACGGCAGGCCCGATTACGTAAATCCGTACGGCGTGGCGTATTACAATGCACTAATCGATGAATTATTGGTAAATGACATCAAACCGTTCGTTACGATCTACCACTGGGAACTACCACAGCATTTAAACGAGCTAGGAGGCTGGCTTAGTGAAGATATAGTGGATTGGTTCGCGGATTACGCGAGGGTGTTGTTCGAGAACTTTGGCGACAGGGTCAAGCATTGGTTGACGATTAACGAGCCGGATGTCCATTGCTACTTTGGTAACGAAACGGGCTCGCACGCTCCAAGAATAATCTCCCCTGGTGTCGGGTACTATGAAGTTAGTCTCCCTTATCTACGTTGTTTGTTTAGTAACTTTGTTCTTTTGGGTGTCTCAAAAAAAATAATGAATATTCACTAGAGCGAAATGTGTTAGTAGTTCCAGTAGTATAACCTTTAATTATTTTAAGCTCATTGCATTCACGAATAACGATTTTAAGAAGTTTAAAATCATTTCTATCGATATAATATTTTTTAATTTTTGAGACCCTCCACATATTTTTTGCTTTATTTCATAGACCTTATTTTCACAAGTCTTTTATATATGCGACTTTAGAATTAACTCTACTATTATAATGCTTGTGCATTTTAGAAAATTTCAATATTATTGCTTTTGTTTCATAGACCTTACTATCATAACTACGTTGTACAACAGTACCTAATTCGGTGGTCAGCCGCGATCGACTCCTCACCTATACAATATGTCTGACTGTAAGTGTGCATCAACGGCAGAATAAAATGTATGAGATAAATCGATCCCCTTGGATTTGGTTCAAACTTTGTATGGAGGGTTTGTATTCTTATTGTATGGAGGGTCTTCAATTAATTACACAAAAAATTATTATTTTTAATTTGGAGCATTCGTTTTTTTCTAGTTATTAAAAAAAAAAGATTCTTGCATTGCAATTTTTATAGGATAGGCTGACAAACGAGCACACAGTCCACCTGATTGTAAGTGGTTGCTGTGAACCATAGACATCTACATCTATTCTCGATAAAGACTCAAAATGCATATGCGTTGCCACCCGTGAGGATTAAAATGGAACGCCTCTTATCCAGTAAAGAGTGTCCGGTTCAAATTCCATACAAAACACAGCAGTGTCAAGTTACCATTTTACGCTGGTATTCTGTGAGAGCGTGGTCCTTCTCCGGACGAGTCGACCCATTCGTGCTACAACTATACTACAAATATAGCTGCAGCATGGCTCTGCCACGTATGAAAATGAACCCGCTCTATAACTTAGAAACATTATCACCCATTTCCCAAATATAATATGACTTATATGTATTATTTATCTTTATTATTGTGATATAATCTTCTTGTATTTTTCTTAATTATCGTCACTTATATTCTATTCTTTACTTTTTTATACTTTTCTTTACTATAATAATTAAATGTTCGAAAATAATGTATTTTAACTTTATGGTTTATTAATGCATTTAATTGTTTTCAAACATTTTAAATACATTAATGACCATAAGGTATATTATAATATTTTAATATTACTTCTATGATATTTTAGACGACGATTATTTAATATTAATAATAATGCGCCGTTACAATAGCAGAGACTTTGATAAGCTGTATAACTTAACGAATGACGAATTAGATGTAGAGGCTTATTGATGTGTGGTGCCTACGCATGATGGAGTTTCTAAAGAAACTGTATTTAAGATTAGTTGAACTGTATTATGATGGAAATGTTACCAATAAAAATTATCTTCCTTACATTCACTAAACGAAAACAGCAAATGTGTGATAATGTTGTTTTACGAGCGATAGTATATTGTCAACAAAACAAATACCTGTTTTTCTATTCGTTCGAACAACATCATTATGGAATCCATAACGGTGGAGGCAAGGTGAGTATCTTGAGGTTTTGTATAGCTCCTCCACCTACATACCTATTCAAAGACACACATTTTATATTATATTCTAAAGCTAAGCGATGTAATTATAATGAAAATGAACTTAAGTTTTAAACATATTTTATTATTTGTTAATAATTTTTTAGTACTACTATTGACATGTTTTTATCATGAATTTGTACTTTAATGATTTAATAACAATTTAAATATATAAAAATAATAATTTAATAATTTGTTAATTTTTATAAAACATATATACCAAATAAGAAAAAAGAAAACAAATTTGCATGTGTATACTAAAGAGTTAGTATCTTAATTATTGTATTTAAAAATATCTCATGTTAAATACTAAAAAGCAAATAAACAAATAAACAACAATTTCATACCTCAGCAAAAACTAATTTGACGAAGATCGGCAAAGAGCACTGGCCAATTGCGTTAGAAACTAATCTCCATTGGTAATTTGATAGGTCCCTGGCAGCTGATGCCATCCACAGCCTAATCAGGAACATGAAAATATGATTAAATTTAAACCGGCCAAGTGCGAATCGGATTCGCGCATGAAGGGTTCTGTACCACCGCAAAACACGTTTCTAGTAGAGGAACCCCATTTAATTTTTAATTTATTTTTGGAACGAAGTTCCTTATCGGACGGTTCCAATTTGAATTACTAGCGAGAAAAGTGTAAGATTTTTCCGTCGCGACCCCTTCTGACGTAGTGTAGATGGCCTTGCCGGCTATCAGGAAGTTGATGGAATAATATCCATCTTACTCGCACTTTTTCTTATCTTGCCATAAAATAAATATTATTTTATTTTAAATGACGTTTCATTTTAATAGACGCTACGTTTTTCAAACCTTTTTTTCCTCTCTATCTATATTTATTGTCCAGAACTCCTAGGTTGGTACAGATCGTGAGTTATTTCATCTCTACTCAGAGGTGACAACGCATGTGTCGCTTGTTTTTGGTTGTAATTTGGATTCACAATTTTTGGTATAAAAGGAGGCAAACTAGCATTCGGTTCCTCTGATAGTGAGTACCGCCTCCCACGAACAACTGCAACGCTAGGGGAATTGCAGGTACGTTGCCGGCCTCATTTCTCATTAGTAGCTCGTTTGTTACTCCAGTATTACTAATAGTATTAACTGCCACATTAGTCTTTCAATGGCCTCGATTCCCGAGTCCAAGGGCGGAGTTAGGAAGTTGGCGATATTTCATCTTTTTAAAGCCTTTGCCTGTGCCTGAACTTTCTCCGGTGAGTCGAGTTGCAGCCCTGCACAGTTGACTAGAATCCGCTGAGACTGGTCACCGAGCTTGTAGGTTTTCGCAGTTTGAATACACACAATAGAAACTGCAAAAGCAGTACCAAGGAGCGGGGTAGCCACCCAAGATGATGTCTGGGTAATGAGGGCCTACCTCGACACCTGATCACCTACTGTCCCCAGAAACGAGTCTGAGCAAATGCCTATTCTCCGTTGAGACTGGCTGCCATGATCGCAATTCGGTCCGGAGGATATTACTATTAATAATAACACAATGTATAATAACTTTCCATGCTGTATTTTTACAAAGCACTTACTTTAGAACCTGCATAGCGAGATCTTCTCCCAGTGACTTCACTTCCAGAAAGTTTTCCTCGGAATCTATCATACGGCGAAGTACGTCATACTCTTTTGATACTTCTGGATTTGCTTCTTCGCAAGCACATGTGACAATGATCTGAAATCAATAATAATGGATTTAGAAATTATATGATTGGTTTTTTTAAATTCTGTAATCCAACATTTTGATGCTTAGTTTTTACGTCCTCTCTTAGCTGTCTTAAATTACCGCTATTTCTCTCAACCCAATGCCTCACTATCGCCGCATCATCGGCACGGCATCACCAGAGGTGAGGAGGATAGGGCGAATGGTATGGTCATACTAACGCTCCTCAGTCCCCGCAATTCCACCTTATTGGAGGGCAGAAGGAAAGACCCGTGTCCATGACACTAATTCCATCCATACATGACAGCCTATAATTATCCACTGCTGAACATAGGTCTCCCTCATAGATTGCCTCATGAAGGGATATTCCTATAGTCGTCACGCTTGACAAGCCGGTTTTTAACCGCAGTTTTTATTGTTTTGAGTTGTTATAAGGAAAATACTCAGTTTCCCTCTGTCATCTCTTACGAAGCCCTCGGAACAATATGGGGTAGTGGCTATTCTTATACTGCCACCACATGGTGAAACCAATTACATTACAGCCCTTCACAAGTCCACTGCTGAAAATAGGCCTCCCCCAAGGAATACCACAAAGCACGGTCCCGAGCCACCTGCACCCATGGACTTCCTGCATGTCTCACCAGGTTGTCACTCAGTCTAGTGGGAGTTTGCCTACCAGTACGAGACTGCCTAGACTAACAAAGCATTTACTACGTCCATGTCATAATGGTGAAGTTGTTGCAAATTGTTACCTTACAATGTGGAGGCAGCCTTGATGGAAGCCATGAAACTTTATTATTTTCAGTGCCAATTCCTGTGAGCTGGTCTACGGAGTCCAGAAACAAGATAAGTGGTTGCTGCTGAGTGGCCGTTGCCAACAACTGCTTAAAATGTGCTGTCAAAGGTACTAAATCGTCTGGTATACTCTCGAAGGGTAATGCAAAGTTATATGATATCTGCAAAAACAAGGTATCATGAAAGTAAATTGATCTTTATGAAGATTATTGTGTAAAGATTTGCAAATAATTATTTGGCCACGCTGCAGCTTTAGGCTAGAATGGGAAAGGATCACGCCCTTACATAATTGCAGAGCGAAACAGCAGCATTAAGCTTGCAGGTGAGTGTAGAGAACCGGAGATCTTTTTTACCGGAAAGAAGGTATTCCATCGTAATCCAACATACAGTGACATCGCAACTGCATTTCGATTCTTAATCGAGGGTAGATGTAGATGTCTATGGGTCATAGGATCCAAGTATCTTCAGGTAGGCAGTGTATTCGTCACCCCTTTTTTATGTAATTGTACGATTGGTTCGAAAAAATCCTCAGTCCTCGGGAAAACTAGCAAGAAACCCAGCGGGATTTTTTTAAAAGTAAAATTAAACAATAAAAACAAAGGTAGTACAGTTACTTACAAAACTTATTTAAAAACAGTTATGAAGCGACCACCTTATTCCCAAGGGTTATTATCAACAATCTATTCATTAATAACCCTTTCCATACGGTCTTTGTGTAACAAAAACTTTAAACTTGGTAATAGAGAAACTTTATAAAATTTTCTGGGACTTTGTTGTAAAAGTGTATAAATTACCTCATGAATGAATTACTGACATTGTGGAGTCCTAATGTTTACACAATGTAAATCACTTTATATTATAATTACTTTGGTTTTTAGTCAATATACCTACACTAAATTTTTTTAAATATGCTGAGAGATCAAAGTTACTATGTTTAATTCTTTAACTTTTTTGAGAGGCTCTTTTTCGCAAAGAGAGGGCTTCGTTTGGATATTCTCAATCATCTCATCTACCAATTTTACATTTTTTATATTGAGATATTTAAATAGAATTCACATCTGTTTGGGCTGTAAAAATAAATATAGAAAATTATAAATAATATAAAATAAACTATAGGTACTGTTTAGGCCAAATAATTAATATTGTAAAAACTTGGATTCAAGACGCGTGTCTCGGCGTTTTCGCCCGATGTAATTTAAAGGTCACCTCTGGCCCCCTCTCTCGGGCGCTTCTCTCGGCCGAGCGGTCAGTCGCTCGACGCGTGGGCGAAGTTTGTATTGTCTGCGACCGCTGAGTTGGTTGCGCGCGGCCGGTGTTGATTTAACGGTCTAAATTCTGAGTAAATTGTGCGCGTCTAATTTACTATCGAATATTTGGGTCTCGTTAAGACCGCCTTGAATTGAGTTGTCTGTTTTGAGCGTTTGAAATGATAACGAGGCTTATCCTTGAGTTTTGAGTTATTAATTTAACTTAGATAGACATTAATTTGCGTCTACGAGTTGATTTGTGGCATTTTAATATCGTGCGAAGGAATTTTGCTTTGTCGTGTGGAACGCTGAACTTTGTGACTCGAGAAGAGATCGCGTTTGTGCTCGATGATAATTTGTTGCTAAGTGAACATGGAACATTGAACTCTGACCAACAGTTCTTAAGTTGAGCAGTGTGTCCCTTGTTTTGGCTTCGATTAACGCTGACTTAGTTAAATTTGAAGTTAATTAAATGTACAAGAAAGTTGATAAACTAATATAGTGAAAATAAAAGCAGAAGTTTTCAATTGGTGAATGCCCACTGGAGGGATCGCACATTTGGAGAAAAGCAGCACCTGTGGATCTGCTGTCCGACTACATCGGTTAAGTCAGGTGACATTTATACACACTTTCACACACTACTTACATACACCTCACTTACCACCTGACTGGTACCCTGTAACTCGGTAAGTTTTTGTTTGCTTACAGCCATTAATAATAATCCATAGGCCATTGGGCCCGAACCCTCGGTTGCCCGTCGAAGGTGTTACTCATGGGCCCTAATACAGTCGACTTATGTCTGGTCAACTGGGGGCCGTAACATTTCTGGTAGTAGAGCGTGGTTGATTGTTTCTACAATCACGCCCGGCCGTAATACGTAATAAAAATATATTTTTGTGTTTTGTTAGCGGATCGGTGGGTAGAATTAAAACCACGCCCGTTAGGCTGCGCAAGCAGGAGTTTAGTTAGGGTTAGGTACCTACGCGTCAGGTATTTTTGGCAGGTAGATTAAATTGCCGAAGGGTCGGTCGCTTCAGCGAGGCATCTTTGCTGACCGACGGTAGTGTGTACTTGCCGTGTAGTGTAATTTGTATTTAACTTGATTTAATAGTAATTTTATTTGTTATTTGTTAATTTGATTTGTATTTGTGCCGTGTAGTAATTTGTATTTAGTAGTGATGCCATCGCACAAGCTACCAGCGCTTAGCCTGCAGGCGGAGCTGCGCTGGGCCGCGAACGCCCATATTTTGATAGGGAGACTCGATCGAGTCCATAGTTTAGCGCAGCGGCTCGAGCAGGTCGATGCCCGAAGGGCCGTAGTGGAGGAAGCTTGCATAGAGCTTTTGGCCTTGGACGCGGAACAAGGAGTCCTAGACGCCTGCCTCGCGGACTACGAGAAATTCTTTTCACTCACGGATGACTTGAACGAGGCGGGGGCCAAGTATGCTAATGAAGCGCGTGAAGCTCGGCTGAGTGGCCTGGCCGAGTCCCCTCGGAAACAGCCTACTCAGCCGGAGCTGTTGGGACGACTCCCAACTCTGGACCTGCCAAGGTTCTCCAGGGTCCTCTCCGAATGGATAAATTTTGTTGGCCTTTTTGATAGTCTAGTGGATGCCTGGAGGAAATTGACACCAAGCTAGAAGATGGCGTACCTCCTAGCCTCACTGGAGGGGGAGGCCCTGGGCGTCGTCGGCCATTTGAGATTGTCGGACGACGCCTACCAGACTGCCCGGGACCTCCTCGCCGGAAGATACGCCAACGTCCGGCGAATCGCGGACGAATACGTTAGGCAGCTTCTAAGCCTCCCGCTGCTTAGGGATCGGGCCAGACTACACCTGGACATCGTGAATCCAGTCTTCGTGGCCTGTAATGCGTTGAGGCTGCTGGATTTACCGGTGGATGAATGGTCCTTCTTGTTGCTCCACATCGTGCTATCCCGCCGCCTCTCGACCTTCGGATACATTTTGAGGAGAGGTACGGCGGCAACGGCGCCTCCTATATTCCGCCCTTCATTGATCTGCTGCGGTTCTTGGAGGAGCAGTACCGGCAAATTGAGAACGCGGTGGGCACCGTCGACGACTTACGGGTTGCCAACCGAGCCGTGCCCAGTGAGAGGCGGAATCCGCCGTGCAAGTCGCCGCCAACCCCCATAAGGCCGATCGGAGCTCCCGCGGGATGGCGCTGCTCCCTACCATCTTACAGTAGCTTAGCGGCCAGGGAGGCGCCCCCTACTCCTATTGTCTAGCATCCGATTACAGGGTGACGTCGTGCCCGAAGTTATTGGGTAAGCCGGTCCCGGCGAAGCGAACTATCGCCAAGGAGCGCCGCTGGTGCTACTCGTGCTTGGAAAGGCACCTCCAACGAGACTGCCCGCACCAGCGGCCCTATCCGCACTGCCAGGGCAACCACCTTGCTATTTTGTGCCTGGGTGCGAACGGCGCTTTCTCTCGGGGCTCGGCCGGGCCCTCAACTTCCACGGGCGGGGGCACTTAGCCGCGCTCTCTGTCGGGCGCCGTGCCCCAGGATTTGAAGGAGGCCTCTCCCCCGACCAGTCGGGCGGTCGTTACCCCAGGTGCGGGGGGGGGAGGATAGTCGCCCCCCCCTCGGCGTGTGGAGATGAACTTCACAGCCACTCAGCAGTCAGCTAGACCCTTCTCACCCCCGTTAGCTGAGTGGCCGCGACTGGGGTACCACCGTCCCCCTTTGATGGAGGCAGCCCCAGCTAGGTAGTTGCCGCCCTAGCTCCCACCACGGCCGCCTCCACTGATCCTTTGAGCCGTCAATAGCCCAGTTGTCAAACTGTTCTAATGCCGACGGACTCAGTGAATGTGTACAACCCGAGTGGCGACTGTTTAACGGTTCGCGCTCTATTGGATTCAGGTTCACAACGCTGTGTGGCCTCCACTTGGTTGGTGGGAAGACTAGGGCTCCCCTGGAGCTCTGAATGCTTGAAAAAAAATTCTTTGGTTTTGCCACGAAATGTTTCGTAGTTGTAGCGGTTGTGAGTAAAAAAGTGAATTTAATATACTCCTTGAATACGAATATATATGTTTTTGTAAAGATATTTAATCATTATGTTTGCTTTATTGAAAAGAAAATTGAAATTGAGTAACACTATTTGTGCCGAAAGAAATAAAGATCAATTCTCTCTTTTTTTCCACATTTTTGTTGGCGTTGTTGAAGATATTTTATTTTGAAAAAAAAAAATATATGGCTATCTCTTATGTTTATCGTTTTGCTTAATTTATCTGTTTTGATCTATGCGCATCAAGAAATAAATTTGTTACAATTTATTTTCAAGTTTTACATAGTAATTTTGAGCATTGATGCTTTTGAAACTTGGTTGAAATATAAGCATGGAACTACATGTTTAAAAAAAAGCTAGCTAGTTAGGATATTATCAGATTGAAATCAGCTACTGCACGGTTGAGAAAATGGTTATATAGTAGATTGCTTGATTATGTCTACTTGCGTTAACAAAATCATACTAGGGCCTACCTGTGCGTTTTCGTGTGCCTCTCCAATAAGGCCGCTCACTTGGAACTTTTAAGTGCCCTCAGCACTGAAGCCTTTGTGGCCACGCTGGGCCGCTTCGTATCGCGTCGCGGTTTGCGGACCTGATCCAGTCTGATTGCGGAACGAATTATAAGGGGCACGGATAGATATTTGAAAGAGGTCGTCGAATCTCTGTCCAGCAACAGGACTTATTTAGGTGCTGCGATGTACAGGAAGGGCATCCAGTGGAGGTTCGACCCTCCGGCTTGCCCACATTGGGGCGGTATTTTGAGGCGGTACTCAACTCTCGGCCCCTCTGTCCAATCCGAATGATTTGGAGGTTATGGCCCCGGGCCGCTTCTTGATTGGTCAGCCGCCTAACGCCCTGCCCGAGTACCCTTTCGGGGAATTAAACTCTTCGCGGTTGAGCAGATTTGACTGCTGCAACAGATGACTCAGAGTTTTGGCACCGATGGTCTCCGGAGTACCTACATCCTTTGCAGCAGCGCGTTAAGTGGTCTGACAAGACGGATCCTCCTCGGGTTGGAGACCTCGTGTTGGTTAAAGAATCCAACGCTTTGCCTTTGTATTGGAGCCGTGGGCGCATTGTTAAGTTGTCGTATGGATCTGATGGGGTGCCTAGGGTGGCCGAGGTTTTGGTTGGAACTTCGGTCTAGCAACGTGCCGTCGCGAACCTGTCCCGTTTGCCAATTTACTCGCGGACATAAGTCCTTATGTTTGGGACGGGGGTTTGTTTAGGCCAAATAATTAATATTGTAAAAACTTGGATTCAAGACGCGTGTCTCGGCGTTTTCGCCCGGTGGAATTTAAAGGTCACCTCTGGCCCCCTCTCTCGGGCGCTTCTCTCGGCCGAGTGGTCTGTCGCTCGACGCGTGGGCGTAGTTTGTATTGTCTGCGACCGCCGAGTTGGTTGCGCGCGGCCGGTGTTGATTTAACGGTCTAAATTCTGAGTAAATTGTGCGCGTCTAATTTACTATCGAAGATTTGGGTCTCGTTAAGACCGCCTCGAATTGGGTTGTCTGTTTTGAGCGTTTGAAGTGATAACGAGGCTTATCCTTGAGTTTTGAGTTATTAATTTAACTTAGATCGACATTAATTTGCGTCGACGAGTTGCTTTGTGGCATTTTAATATCGTGCGAAGGAATTTTGATTTGTCGTGTGGAACGCTGAACTTTGTGACTCGAGAAGAGATCGCGTTTGTGCTCGATGATAATTTGTTGCTAAGTGAACATGGAACATTGAACTCTGACCGACAGTTCTTAAGTTGAGCAGTGTGTCATTTGTTTTGGGTTCGGTTAACGCTGACTTAGTTAAATTTGAAGTTAATTAAATGTACAATAAAGTTGATAAACTAATATAGTGAAAATAAAAGCAGAAGTTTTCAATTGGTGAACGCCCACTGGAGGGATCGCACATTTGGAGAAAAGCAGCACATGTGGATCTGCTGTCCGACTACATCGGTTAAGTCAGGTGAAATTTATACACACTTTCACACACTACTTACATACACCTCACTTACCACCTGACTGGTACCCTGTAACTCGGTAAGTTTTTGTTTGCTTAGCAGCCATTAATAATAATCCATAGGCCATTGGGCCCGAACCCTCGGTTGCCCGTCGAAGGTGTTACTCATGGGCCCTAATACAGTCGACTTATGTCTGGGCAACTGGGGGCCGTAACAGGTACCTATATTATGTTGAATATTATACCATACATCAAATTCTAAAAATTAATAAATAAATAATAAATGCATAAGTAAATAAATGAAAACGAAATCAGGTGAAAACAGTTGGCAGAGGAGACTACATGACCGAGGGTTATGGGGAAAGAGAAAGAAGCCGACGGATGTTGCGGGCGGTACCGAGGAGCATCGCATTCTGAATTTGAGCCCAGAGCGTTCTATTACTAATTCCCAGTCGCCTCAGATGACTTTTTTTATAGAACAAGGGTGACAAACGAGCACACAGTCCACCTGATGGTAAATGGATGCTGTGGTCCATACACATCTACACTTATCCACAATGAAGAATTAAAATGCAGATGCGTTGTTGTGAGGACTGAGATGGAATGCCTCGTTGCGAATAAAAAGGGTTTCCGATTTTCTACACTCACCATACGAAACACAGCAGCATTAAGATGATATTTTAAGCTGGTATTCTCTGAGAGCGTGGCTCTACACCGGTCGAGCTGACCCATTCATGCTGCAACCACAATATAGCTGCAGCATGGCTCTAACACGTAAAAGAAACCTGAGAGGGAAGACGTATTCCTTTCCAAGATTGGACGTATGCCTTTCCATGAATGCGCGTAACCGCACTGACGATGCCAAGCATAATAAATTGATAACACTTTTATAGTTTGTAAGTTACTGATTAATTTTTAATTTTTACAGCCAACCAATAGGGAATAATAAATTAATCGAATCTTATCAGTTACGTCAGAACAGATGTTTCCCACTATTTACTTTTATTTATTTATTTAAACTTTTATGCACAAAAGAATAATCGTACATATGGCGCACTTAATGCCTGAAGCTATTCTCTCCCAGTCAACCATTAAGCTAAGCAGAGATAAACATATGGGATGTAGTAAACTAATAATGAGAAAAAAGGTAACAAATCCACTATATGTCATACCTGCTGGCAGATAGAGACCAAAGTAGGTGTAAGAGCACTGGAGTCAGGAGTAGTTCCTAGAAACCTGATTACGTTTATGGGTCGCACTTCAGCAAACCATGTTTCCAGTGACATTGCTGAACTCTTCGCTAAGAGACTCGTTTTGCCACAGCCACCTGGAAAGTTAATGGGACGTCAGCGACTTGGCGTTAGTTTTTGACGGCTCGGTACTAAGTGTTCGACTGCGACGCTTCTTGCAGCAGGATCGATGGAGCTTGGATGTTACACGTATGTATTTGTATGACCAAAAATATTTTTGCTTTTATCATCATCATCAAAACCAGTTCACTTCTGAACATAGTTCTTATCAAAGGAATACCACAAAGCACGGACCTGAGCCATCTGCATCTATCGAATTCCTGAATCTCTTATCGGGCCGTCACTACATCAATTTTCTTTATATATATGTACAATACAGGAGAAAATTCTAGTGTGGCAATGAGGTGTACCAAGTTTCTCAATAGGAAAAAATCCATGAGATTCTATAGGATGCATTTCGGTGAGTGTGCGCTGGAATTACACGCTTAAATTCCTCCCTCTCCTTTTCACCATCGGACAACCAGGCGGTCGGCGGGTCTTCTCCCCTTTCTTGTCGATATTCCACGCATTAGTACAAAAATGTTTGCTTCGTCTTTTGTAATGCGCACAGTAAAGGAGTCGAATAATTTGCCGGCGTCTATCTTTCCGTCTGAAAACAATCTGGGCGTCTTCATCACAAGAGTGAATAGGCTTTTGTTACGCTAAGACAGTGCGATTTACCATCTAAGGCTGCATTATCACTTACTACCTAGTAGGATTATGGTCAAGCACTGGCTTATAATAAGTAAAAAAAAAAAGGTTCAAAATCATTAAAAAGATGAAACCTCATGGAGTTTCAGTGAGTGCAAGACCGAAAAGTGCCATGAGATTTTTCAAAGGACCTTTGAAATTGTGGTTAGGTCACAATATTACTGCCATTAGTAGGTACAAGGCCAACATTACTGATACAAGGTGCCCTTGTGAGGCAAATATTCATTTAGGCAGAAGATTTTTAATCATTTGTGATTAGGTCACAATATTTCTATCAATGTCTAGTTTTTAAGTCTATCACGACTTGCCTTGAGTTTGCGCGGTAAGAAAGGAGTTACCAGTTTTTAATGAAAACGTGACTAAAACCTAAACCAAAGTAAATACAGATTTATGGATGGTATAAGACTGAACAAAAGTCAAGTTACTGGAGAAAGAATGACATGAACGAGGATAAGAAAATTAAGTTGTCACTAAAACAATTCACGAAATTAATTCAAAATTTGATTTTTTTGAGCATAAAATTTCAATAAATTAAATAGCAATAAAAAGTTAAAATAACTTTTTAAAGTAGCAATAAAAAGTTCCAAGTGTTTATTCTTCAACTCATTTACTATTGAAAAATCCAGTTTACATGCCACTAAAAATAATAATGGAGTAAAATAAAGAATTATTAACTTTTTACCTTCTCCATACAGAACCAGGGGCTTATCGGAGTTGTTCTTCATGTAATTCTCAATAAATATAAGATCATCTTCTCTGCCGTGGAATACTTTAACAGAGTTATTACAAGCATGCAAATGTTGTAGGATCTCCGTAACAATTTGCCCTTGAGCACTACTGTCTTCTTTGCGCATTGCTCTGTAATTTGTAAGTAAGAATTGAGATTTATTTATAACTAGCTGGCCAGGCAGACGTTGTTCTGCCCTTTTCGACGACCCTTCATATAAAAAATCCTTAAATACGTAATAAAAAATATAGAGCGTCACTTATCAGGATAAAAACTATCCTATCTCTCAAGCTGGATCATACTGCACAGAGTGTGATGTGTAATTTCACCGTACTCGAGCAACCCGGTTTCGATCCTTGCTGACACCATTGAAATTGTTATTTGCAAATTTCAGTGCTGAATTATCACGTGCTCGCCGTAGAAGTTTTTCTTCCTGAGGAAACCTGCAGGTGTGAGAAATAAGAAAAAAAAAGACCGTGCTTTAAGGCATTCCATGAAAAGGTCTCCAAACCTTTGTTCAATAACGTGTGATGGGCTGAAATAATTTTGATGATGTTTCTTTATCAGTAATATGAAATCTCTATATATATAAAAATCAGTTGCTGTCTGTTAGTCTCGCTAAAACTCAAAAACGGCTCGAAAGAGTTTGATGAAATTTTTTGTGTGTATTTTAATGGGTCCCTAGATTGCTTAGATTCAGATTTCATTTGGACCCGGTAGGTGGTGTTGCGACCCACGCGAAGCCGGGGCGGATCGCTAGTAAGAAATAAAAAATACACTATGAAATATCTTTTAAATAATAAAAAAAAACTATCGATATAATATTATGTTAACGGCTCTATGTAAACACAATTTAAGTAAGATCGAGTTAAGTACGATCTACTCCCGATTGTAAGAGGGTCGCGAAGTAAATCAGTGTTGTGAGCGACCTTTTGTAGGTCGTACTGTAGCGTAGGGAATAAGAGTGCTATTTTTGTTAAACCGTAATTTGATATAATGTTAACAACTCCTTTTTAAAGGCTTATCTTTAAATAATTTCTGCATATATTTTTCTTCTTTATAAATGTTCATCATCATTACAGCCCTTCACTAGTCCACTGCTGAACATAGGCCTGTCCCATGGAATGCCACAAAGCACGGTCCCGAGCCACCTGCATCCATCGACATGTCTAACCAGGTCGTCACTCCATCTAGTGGGGGGACGCCCTACACTTCGTCCGCTAGTACTAGGCCGCCACTCGAGAATCTTTTTTCCCCGTCGGTTGTCGGTTTTTCAAGCTATATGGCCACATCAGCTTACTAATATGTTGGGTTATGTCGGTCACTCTGGTTCTACTGTGGATATTCTCATTTCTAAGTTTATCACGCAGAGAAATTCCGAGCATAGACATCTCCACAGCTCGCTGAGCGACCTTGAGCTTCCTAAGCAGTGAAGAACCACGTCTCAGTTCCATAGGTCATCACTGGTACACACATTGGTTGTACAGTCTCGTTTTCAAGATTTCAGGCATACCTGACGAGAAGATGTGCCGTAATTTCCCGAACACTGCCCAGCCAAGTTGAATCCGTCGATTGACCTCTTGGTCTAAGTTGGACTTACCTAGTCGGGCTATTTGTCCTAGGTAAACATACTCGTCAACAACTTCGCAAACAACTACCGGCATAGGTATGACATTGACGTTATACATGATCTTTGACCTATCCGTTGGGAGGCACTATTCAGGCCATTGAGCATAGTGCTTAGGTCCTCAAGCGATTCTGCCATAAGGACTATAGCGTCGGCAAATCGAAGTTGAGTGATGTGCTCGCCATTGATGTTAATGCCGTATCCTTTCCAGTCCAGTTCCTTGAAAACGTCTTTCAAAGCAGCGGTGAAGAATTTCGGGGATATAACGTCACCATGTCTTACACTTCTCTGTAGTTGGATAGGTTTTGCACTCTGATTCTGTACTCGGATAGCCATCGTAGCCCTACTGTACAAACACTTCAGCACTTCGATATACAGACAGTTAACTTGACACCGCTGAAGGGACTGTAGCACTGCCCAAATTTCAACGGAATCAAAGGCTTCCTCATGGTCCACATATGCAAGGCGAAGTGGGAGATTGTAATTTTCTGTCTTCTGTACAATTTGCCAAAGGGTGAGTATGTGATCTATGGTACTAAAGCCTCTTCGGAAACCGGCTTATTCAGGAGGCTGGAAGTCATCGAGTCTGAATGCGAGACAATTCGTAATGACTCTCGAAAACAGAGCGTAGACGCGGCTCAGAAGGGAAATCGGTATGTAGTTCTTCAAGAGAGCGTTGTCACCTCTCGTGAAGAACAAGACCACCGCATTTTTGCTCCACGCCTCCGGCGTAGTGCCACAATGGAGGACGGAATTAAAGGGCTTCTGAAGGACTTAAAGTACCTGTTTTCCGCCCGCTTTCAGAAGCTCCACTGTAATTCCATCCTTGCCTGTGGCCTTGCCGTTTTAATGTTTTTGGAGAGCCATTCTAATCTCACTCAGACTGACGTCCCGAATATCAGTCCCGAATAGTTTATAAGTGTTATTGATACGGACTGCCTGTATCGCCTCCATATAATAATAATGGTATTATTAGATCATTAGAGGCGACTTTTCCTTAGTTTATTCATTCATTCATTCATTACAGTCCAAATTTATGTTGTAACAATATCATGCGTACGAATTTCTTGAAATATGTTTCTTTTTTTTCTCTTCTAATAAGTATAGACTGATCTCACCAGTATTATTTTCATTTAAGTCATGTCAACATTAAGCCACATATAGCCTACTGCTGAACATGTCAGAAGAGTTTGCAGAGCCTGTAAAATTACAAACTGTGAGGCATTCCAACATCTCATGTCTTCAGAGATCCATCCGTAGCCTTATTTTATTTATCCAGTCGTTAATTGCAGCAGATGAAAAGTCCACGGCTGTACAAAAGCCTCTTTCATATACTATTTCCTCATAGACTCATATTTAACATAGTTGCAACGCTTAGCAGGCAGTTTGATAAACACAGTTTATTTTTTATTTTAAATTGTTACCAGGAAAACTCTTCTTTGTTTGAAATTGATTGAAAATAAGTTTGCAATTGATTGCCCATGGGTTGCAGATACTACTTACCATGAAAACTGTAAGTTATCGTTTAATTTTGTGATCGCACCACCAAAAGTTAAAAAATAGACTCATCAATTCAAACAAACCTGTCAACGAGCTTGATAATATTTTTGTAGAAGTGTGATATAAAGTGGTTGAGATATTCCCCATGAGTTTCCGTGTCAAGTCCATCGCGACCAATCCATTCAACAGTATACCTGAAATATTGTTTTATAATTACATTTGGTCATCTGTAATGTAGTGTAACGACTACATTATGGAATTTGTCACCACTTGCAGTTCTTTGGTATCTATGTAAATAAAGAACCTTCAGAAAAAGATACTATACCATAATAAAAGACCGAAAACGCGCATGTAATTTTGGGTGTTGTGGATGTAAATCGAACTACATATTAAAGTTTTGTATATATTTTTTATAAAACCGGGGTAGAACAAACTGTAGTAATAAACGTGAGGAGTGTACAAGAAACCGATAGTTAAAAGAGTTAGTGAATTAATGAACTAATTTAAAATCTAACAATAGTGAAATAATACAAAACATTTTTCGACTGTCACAATCCTCAACATAAGATTCTAGTCTAAGTTGATATTTTGTACTTACTTCTGAATGTTTGTTGTTTCGATTTTTTCTGGTAGTCTCACATCTCTCAGATCAGCCAATAGTTTGGAAGCTTCCGCATCCAAGCTCCTGTTAAGAATGTCCACGAAGTTGCCGGCTTTCTTTAGATTCTGAAGGTTTATATTGTTGATGTATCTAACGTATGCGAGACAGTGGTTTTTTGTGTTCTTAACGTTAAGAATTCCGTTGATAACTTCACGTTCAGTAACTGAAAGGAGTGAACAATATCGGATAATTGAACGTCGCCGTGTACTAGAGATGTAAGAGAATTAACCAATAACTACTTCTATGTCGTCACATGGCTATTGTAAAAGGTGACAGAGGGAAATGAAATAGGAGATGATTAGCAGCATATTCCCCTCTATAATTAAAAAGTACATTCTATCGTAGTCTGCAAAGGTGGCTTCGCCTTTGTAGCCTTCTTTGTTTGAACTTGGCTGCAGGTGTCCATGTACTGCAGTAGCCACTTACCATCAGGTGGATCGGTCAGTTCAGTGGATCATCAGGTCAGTTTTATAAAAAAAAACCTTACGTTGTTAATATTGCTCAATAATTGTTTCGTATTGTTACGAGCTTGGGGTTCGAGACAATTAAAAAAATGCCGATTGAATTACCAAAATTGACACTTTAATTACAGAACACTAATTACAATTTAAAACCACACTAATAATAAAACACAATTGTTCTACTGATCACTTTAGTTCGCAGTTATTTCGCTTCGAAGTATTCTCTTGTATCGCCAATTCAATACTGCCTCGGTCGTGGTCTATACCGGCTTTATATAGGGCCTCAGATAGTTTCCAGAACCTTCTACTGTAGCGACATCTAGAATGTTCGACTACATATCGATCCCGAAATTTCTAGAAGGATCTTGACACTCCTAGTTCTGATACTCGACACTAGAGGGCGCTAGTGGTAACTAGTTTTGCCATGTACAAGACATCAATAGTGGCGCGCAACAGTATGTTTAGGGTGTCAGAGCATCTGTTAATCAGCAGGGTGCACATACTGAGGTAAAGTCGACATTTTTTTTTCTTTGTTTATAAAAACGTTACCCCCACACTAGGATTTTCTCCTGTGTCGTGGAGGCAGTTTACAAACATAAATTACACAAGGACAAACATCCAGACCCGAAACAATTATTTGTAGGCCATACAAATACTTGTTCCGTGCGGGATTCGAACCCGCGGCCCCCAGCGCAACAACTGATTGCTAAGCCACTGCGCCACGAAGCCGTTTTATTAGAAGAAAAAATTGGTATATTTTTTTAAACATGCGAGTCATTACACGGAACATCATTGACCAATTTTTTTTTCAATTAATATTTAAGAATTTGGTCCTTTGAGCCGGATATGATACAACTATTTACCATTTAATTAATAAAATTTATAAATTAATAAGTATACCTGACATAAAATAGTTATGCATGGTGTCCTTATCGATTTTGCCAGCGTTGTATAACTGCTGTGAAGCTTTGCGGAACAGTTTTTGCATTTTTCCGAGCGTGTCCCACCAAATCGCTTGGTCCTCGGCTTGTAACTTTGGTACTCTCTAGAAGCAAAAATAAAACTTTTATCTATTATAACACAGTAAATTACGGATACAAAATAAATTATGATATGGATTTCCTCCATCATTATTATAGTAGCACATTACAAGTCCACTATTAAAAATAACCAGGGAATCATTTTTAGACTTATTACTTCATTTTTAAGTAACAGAACTCAAAATGTCGTGATCAATGGCAAAGGTTTCTCCGGATCAGTAGTATCAATGGGCGTTCCTCAGGGCTCGATTCTTGGCCCATTACTGTTTTTAATCTATATTAATGACTTACCTTATCTTGTAGGGGACAATAACGATATAGTATTATTTGCTGACGATACCTCTTTAATTTTCAAACTCAAACGGCTGTTAAATAATTATGACTATTTAAATAATGCTCTATCGAAATTGGTACATTGGTTTAACGCCAACAATATGCTCTTAAACGGCAATAAGACAAAGTGTATTAAATTTACAATACCTAATGTAAAACATTCGAATACCAATGTGCTGTTAAATGGGGTGGAGTTGAGTCTTGTGGATACCACTGTTTTTCTTGGTATTACTATTGAAGCGAAACTACAATGGGGCCCCCATATATCTAAATTAGCAAGCAGACTTAGTTCTGCAGCATATGCTGTAAGAAAGATTAGAAGTCTCACAGATGTTGAGACTGCTAGATTAGTGTATTTTAGTTACTTTCATAGCGTAATGTCTTATGGAATTTTGCTATGGGGTAATGCTACTGATATTGAAGCGATATTTGTTTTGCAAAAGAAAGCCGTTCGGGCGATTTATAACCTCAATTGTAAAGAGTGCCTCAGACAAAAATTTAAAGAAATAAACATATTAACTTTGGCATCGAAATATATTTATGAAAATGTAATGTATGTACATAAAAACATAAATAGCTTTAATAAGAATAAGGATGTGCATACTTTAAATACTAGGAACAAACATAACCTTATAATGCCAGTTACTAGACTCCACAGAATCAGTAATTCATTTATGGGGCAATGTATGCGCTTTTACAACAAAATCCCAGAGCATATTCAAAGTTTGTCAATAAACAAGTTTAAAAGTTTTATTAAAGAAAAACTGTACATAAAGGGTTATTATAATATCAAGGAATACATGAATGAAAATAACCCCTGGGAATAAGGTGATCGACACCATGCTGGTTCTATAAAAATATCATTTAAAAATTGTATAAACGAAGTTACAGTTGAGTGAAATATGTTTGAAAAAAAAGTCCCGCTGGGTTTCTTGCTGGTTCTTCCCAGGACTGTGTTTTCCGAACCAGTGGTAAATAAAAAATGACTTTCAATAAGTATTAATCAATGTTGAATAAGAAATTATTCTATTCTATTATATTCTACTGGTAGGACAATAAAACAAGGTACAATTTTGTGTACTGCTTTCAAGTACTTATTACATGATTTGTCAGATCGTTACTCATATACGAGTACTGTGATATTCGGTTTGTGACTGTCACTCTAGAAACTTTCTTCTATCTCTATAGTTATGGAGAGGAATTGTCTTAACCATTACTCTTGGGTTGGTGGATTGAAAATTACAGTATCTCATCTCACAATTTATACCTCGTCTCGCTTATGCCAGTCAGGATATTATTTTATGCCTGGCTCCAACAAGATAGTTATATCTATCGGAAGCCGTAAGATCTTTCTGGTGTTTCTTATTTTAGTCTCTTACGACATTTGCATGTGGTAGACCCATACTACGGCTCTGTTAAAGTTGTAGCACAAATGGATCGGCTCGACCGGGGAAGATCTACGCTCTAACAAAATACTAGTGTAAAATAGCAGCTTAATGCTGTTGTATTTCGTATGCTGAGTGTAGAGAAACGGTGATCCTGAGTGCAGTGTAGAGAACGGGAATGTCTCGTTTCTCTTAAGGAAACGACGCATTCTATGTTCGTCTTTAGGGGTAACAACACATCTGCATTTTGATTCTTCTTCGAGGATTGATGAAGTTGTATTTGGCCCACAGTATCCTCTTACCATTAGTTGGAGCATACGAGGGGTAATTGAAAAAATATTTTAATCTTACCTTATTGTTAAAATTGACGAGTATAGAAGAAATTGGTTGCAAAACTGACACGGGTGGCACAGCATTCGAATCTTTCTTATACCAAGTATCAAGCAAAATAACATCGACTCCACCAGCTGCTAGCTCGTCTCTCAGCATTTGGAGCTCAGAAGATAGCACGTAGGTTGGTATTGGCCTAGAATCAGATATTTATTATAAGATTTAACCTTTTGTAAGTAATTATACATAAGGTAAATCGCATTATTCGAACAATTTGGGCTTGATCACCGCAGGCACCAATGAATTTATATATCGCAGTTTTGAATGATGATTTACCACGTATCCGACAGTGAAGAGAGTGACTTTCAATGAGTATTATTTATAATCTATATTGAATAAAAAAGTTTTTGTTTCTGTTTCTGAAGGAGAATATCGTGAGGAAACCTGCATTTTTGAGAAATTATAAATATACTTCAAAGGCATGTGAAGTCCGCCACCACATATTGGGGTGGTGAGGCAGCTACTCCCTTAAACTAAAATCTACGTCAGTAATAACAGTAGGCATGTTCCCAACTTACCTGTAACCATACTTTTGTCCCAGAAACACGACGAAGTTTGGCCCCATTGAAAGTCTTTGACAGTTCTTAATCTCCCGCATGCAAAGTTCGGTAGTCATGTGATCATCCGTGGCCTCGTCTCGGACTCCCCAGCGCATGTCCACTACCTAAGTAATTTGGAATAATTGATGAATTTGATTTGGTTGCTTTTACTAGGTGGGGTAGAACTCCCTATCTAGTTTTCTGCCTAGGTATCCGTGTAGCAGCACTGCTTGTTATACTGTGTTTCATTCCGATGTTTCTTCTGAATCATACTTTAACCCCCTACGAGATGAATTAGGGCTTAGCATTTTCAAATGGATATATTGTTAAGCAAGAGACTTGGCTGTTAATCGATAACCTGACCTATAGAAGAGGCTGACAGAATATGCATGGTAGAGCTACAACATCTGCTGCAGCACGAATGGGTCGTTTCGACCGGGAAGGACCAAGCAGATTTTTTAAAATAGAATAAAGTTGACGCGCGAGTATACAGTCCACTTGATGTTAAGTGGATGCGCGGCCCATTAACATCCACATCTTATCCTCGATTACGAATCAAAATGCAAATGCGTTGTCACCCCTGAGGACTAAGATGGAATGCCTCGTGACCAGTAAAAAAATTACCTATCTGGTTCTGGTACACTTACCATATGAAACACAGCAGCATTAAGCTGTTATTTTACGCTAATACCAACGCCAAATAGCAGCATAACGGTGCGCTGTTTTGTATGGTGAGTGACGAGTAACGCTTTTTGATCAGGCTTGGCTCGGTCTGGTTCTCATAGGTGAAAAGCGTCTCCATTTTGATTCTTAGTTGAGAATAGATGTTGATACGTGGACTGTGCACGTTTGTCTTCTTTACTTCTACAAAAAAGGAGAAAAGTTGTCACGTTCCTCTTACACTCCATTTTGTTTGTGTGTAGTGTATTGTAGAAGAGTTTGTGTTGAAAACCAATATTGGTTGGTCTGAAGCACCGATCATGCGAGGAGATCTGTTTATGACTTTGCCTTGGCATATGGGCTTACACAGCTGGTTACTTCGCCTATGCGGGTTCCTGATGTGGAGGATCATGCACCCTCCCTGTTGGACCTTCTGCTGATCTCTCATTCGCACGGATATCAGGTTTCCGTCTACGCTCCTCTAGGCTCATCAAACTATCTTGTCCGGAGTGTGGTGCCACTCACACTAACGTCACGGTTGCATTCTGCAGGCTGACGCAGTGTTTGGTACTATAGGTCGGCCGATTGGGACGGTCGTTTTTGCATCCTAAGCTTAGGGGCGGGTTTGCTTCTCGCCGAATAATCCCAGCGTTGTTGCTGATTCTGTCGCTGATGTGCTAATTCAGGGTATGGAACGTTTTATTCCATCCTCTGTGTTGCCCATCGGAGACAGGTCTCAACCACCAGCCAGCCCTCAGTTTTTTTTTTATAGAAAAGGGTAACTAACGAGCACACAGTCCACCTGATGGTCAGTGGTTTCTGTGGCTCATAGACATCTACATCTATCTTCATTTGCGAATCAAAATGCAGATGCATTGTCAGCCGTGAGGACTAAGATAGGAGGCCTCTTTTCCAGTAAAACGGGTCTCCCGTTCTCTACACTCACTATATGAAACAAAGCAACATTAATCTGCTATTTTACGCTGGCATTCTGTGAGAGCGTGTTCTTTCCCCGGTCGAGCTAACAAATTCGTGCTACAACTATACTATTAATATAGCTGTAGCATGGCTCTACCACGCATAAAAAGTTTCAAGGCAATCCCCTTGCTGCCTTAGCTAGCATTGGAATCCTCGGCGTCGACATATCGAATAGTGTGCACTTTCGTGGTCACTTAGAAGGAAAGGCCAAATTAGCCTCTAAAAAGCTTGGCGTGCTCAGCAGATCGAGACAAAATTTCATGCAGGCACATCGCTTGCAACTTTACAAAGCGCAAGTTCGGTCTTACATGGAATACTGTTTTCATCTCTGCGCCGGAGCGTCCCCAGTGCCAGCTCCTTCCACTTGACCGCATCCAGCGCAGAGTGGTTCGAATCTTCAACAACCGAGTTCTTTCTGATCGGATAGATTTGATCGATGCAAACACGTACGCACGCACGCACGTACGCACGTTCGCACGCACGCACTCATGCACGCACAAATGCACTCACGCACACACGAACACATTCATGCACGTAAGCACGCACGCACGTACGCACACCCACATGACACGCACACACACACACACACACACACACACATACACACACACACACACACACACACACACACACGCACGCACACGCACACACACACACACACACACACACACACACACACACACACACGCACGCACGCACACATAAGCACGCATGCACGCACACACACACATCATACCCACGTTGTTGGATGAATTTTACTTATTCATTCTGTAGTACTCATGTAAATATAACTACACAAAGAATTGTCCTTTTAACGTAAATGGTGAATAGTTTATGTAGTTCATTCATCACTTTCAGTTTTATAAGCTGACAATTCTCCTGCCCTGTTATAGTTTTAATAATAAAAGTTGCTTGTACTCTATACTGGTCAATGAAGCGCAGCGTGTAGGTTTTGAAAACACAGTGTAAACATTTACAAAAACAACCGGTCGGGACTATTTCGATCGCCGGAAACGGACCCACGTGTGCAGCTACGCGTGCCTATTTTAAACTCGACTTACCTAGTTGGAAACGCCGCGGGGCGTGATTCCTACTGAATCTTTATTGTTTTGCAAGGTACATGTGTGCAAGAGCTGTATAGCTCTGGGGCTAACCGCTCGCTGTAAATTACACAGTACGCGTGCAACCCGGGTTCGATCCCCATCGGCACCAATGAAACTGTAGATTGCAATTTGTTTTACAAGTGTTAATTTACCACGCGCTCGGCGGTGAAATAAAACACTGTAAAATTAAAAAAATATTCAGCAACACGCATTTGGGCAGCACGTTGGACATTTATTTATTTATTTGTATTTAAATCTTACTTTTTAGTTATTACAATATAACCATAAAGGTTACAAAGGATACGTCGTAAGGAAACCTGTACTTATGTCAGAGAAATAAGAAAAAAATATTTCAAATATATGTGAAGTTCGCCAACACGCATTGGGGCAGCGCGGCGGACATTTCCTAGGCCTAAAACCCTCTAAGAAATAAGAGGAGGCATGTGGAACTATATAGGCTGTTAATTAACTTTTATTTTTAATGTGGTAGGTGTAGCTCATACATATATGTCAACAAATTTATCGCATTTGTTAAATTTTATGAGCAAAACTTTCGCGATAAATAGTTACTGCCGGTGATAAGAGGGCTGATTCTTTTTTCGCTAAATGGCTAAGTATAGCCATTCAGCGGGGAAACGCAACCAGCAACGCGGGGAGTAGGACTGTATGATAATTAAGTTACTAGTTTTTTTAATTATATTTTTTAATATTGTATATAATAAAATATTGTATATTTTGATTTCGAAATAATCATTGTCATTATTGATAGTGAAGAATTTAAACGTGTGCAAGCTTGTTCATGCTATGTCAGTGCTTATAGACTATTAGATTATTTAAGAAAGAAACTTAAAATATATTAAATTTAAAAATATTCTTTTCATTATTTACTATATTGAATAATCCTTCCAAAATGTTTGCCCACTAAATGATGTAAGTTGATTCCGATAACTGTGAAGTAAGTGGGTCCATTGATGACATTCGGCATTTATTAATAGAATGCGTTAAGTTCGACAGAGAAAGAGAATTGTTGATACGAAGTAATAAGATAAACATATGTACGATTTTGGTTTTTGTTCAACTGTGTTAACAGAACTACTGTCAGATGCTACAAAATGTTTAGTTCATATGGTTATGATTATGAAACACCAATAGTTCTTCAATAGTTTTTCAATATTCCTTCAATAGCTCTTCACATCTAGTTAATAAAAAAGAAAGAAAGAAGAAAGAAAACATTTATTCAAAGAAACTGTACACGTCACAAAAATAAAAAAATAAACAGTTAAAAGTATGGTAGATTAAAATTACAAGTGATGGGGTGTGTATCGAACCAGTGAAAAGGTTATGACTCATCGTAATGCTGCAGGGTCACCTACAGCGCTGATGATGATGAAATCACAGATACACGCACAATCCGCCGGCATGTGTTTATGAAATGCATTTCAATAATACTTTTATAAATTGAAATATTTCGTTGCTTATAAATATATCTATTTATACATTTAGGGATATACACACATGCATACAAGACATATTATATATTCTATATAAAAATAAAAGCAACGATAACCTTTGTAAATACACACTAAACACAAACATATAATGCTCAACGATGCTGAAAGAAACATCTGCTGTGCCTACAGCAGATGTTTCGTCCAGGTTGAGTTTAATAAAAGTGTAATAAATGATTTTTATAGTGTAATTTAAAATTATACTCGTACTTTGAATTACACTCACGAATAGGCGGAGGAATATCATTTCAGCTGATGTTTTGTCGATTTCTCGAAATAAGTTTATCGTTTAAATATAGGGGCAACTTAGTTTTGACAACACTAAATAGTAGATTAGCGAGGTATAGTTTCTGGAGTCTATAGATTCTGTTGTCATTTTAAAATACCTCCTTCGTTGAAAAAAGGTGTTACATGGGACCGTTTTGGTATTGAGAAGCAGTATCGTGCACATGCATTTTGTATACGTTGAATTAGACGTTGAGACTTTTCCAAAATACAGCGTCCATACACTGTAATGCAGTGGTTTAATTTTGAAAGAACGAGAGATGTTCAATTCTTAAGTCCAACTGAATGTATTAGCGGATACTGTAAAAAACCTTTAACCTATAATAGCTGTTGCGGCCAAGCTCGAGTACGTGTTTTTCAAAACGCAGTCTGCCATTCATAACTAAACCGAGGTTACGAGTTTCACTTACACGCTCCAGAGGGACGTTTAAGAATATGATTTAGGGTTTTAATTCTCAAAAAAATTGATTTGGTGTTTCGATTCTAAAAGCATATACTTAGAATGAGGGAAGTTTTCTATGACCATATTGCAATTTGAATAAGGTCCTCATTGATATTACTAATTGTAGAATCAAATTTAAGCGAATTAAA